TGTTGGAATCAGACAGGTGTTGGCTTTGGCTCTGATAGAATGCGCAAAACTTTGAAACACTTTGTTCATTAAAGATGCGAGAACACAAAGAGCTTGGTGAAGCGACGGTAGTAACAGGCGAATCGCAGCTAAAAACAATACATCTGTGGTCAGATGTGGTCATGTCCACTAATTCCACCGAGGAAACGCTGACACCCAGGGTAAAAACCAAGTCCAGTGTATGAACACAGTTATGTGTTTGCCCTTTGACATGTTTGAAGTTAAAAGAAGTGGCCATATTAAAAAATTTAGTTGCATTAACATTGGTGGGGTCATCAACATGAATATTAAAATTGCCACAAAGAACAACTCTGTCATAATTTAAAACCAGAGTAGATAAAAATTCAGGAAGTTCTGATAAAAATCCTCCAGGCGGTTTTGGGGGGCGATAAATTATAACAAATATGATAGGTTGCAGCCCTCCAACTTTAAGAGTGAGAACTTCCAAGGAGTTAAATTCATCACAGCGTACTCGATGACATTTTAAATTTTTCCTATACACGCTCACTAGCCCACCACCACGACCACTGACCCTCGGTTGACTAAAACAATCATATTGAGGCAGACACAGTTCAGATAGCTGGCTATAGTCATTCATCTGCAACCAGGATTCAGTTAAAAACATAAAATCTAGATTTGCAGACAAGATAAAATCATTTAAGATAAAAGTCTTAGTTGAAAGTGATCTCACATTGAAGAGAGCCATTTTAAATGAGTTTGTTTTGGGTGCTGGAGTTGGTGCAGTTGTCCTAAGATTACTAATATTTCTGTGTGGGATGTGCACATTTCGGTTTACTGGTCTATGCGTGATGATGACAGGAATAGAAGTCTGTGGAACAGTGCTGGGAGCAGACGGCTTTACATGCCAGCAGGTGGAGACAGTTGTTTGTGGCAGTGAGGCAGAGATCTGTTCAGTGAGCGGTGGTGTGTCCAGGTGTGCTGCATGAATGATTAGTCATTCACGTAAGTCATGTGTAGACCGCACCACATGCTGTATGTGAGCAGCTAACATTTCTGAGCCCCGTTTGTTTGGGTGAAGTCCGTCTGTCTTAAAAAAAATAGAAAATATTATAATTATCCACATAACACACACCGTGAGCCCTGCAGGCGGACTGGAGCCAGTCGTGGAGGCCAAGGAGTCTACTGAAGCGGCCAGCACCGCGACCGACTGTGGGAATGGGACCAGAGATAAAAACGGACTTTCCACACTGCTTTAAAAAGTTAAAAAGACGGTTAAAATCTAATTTTGTCAGCTCAGACTGCTGAAGAGCTGTGTCATTTGTTCCCACATGGACCATCACTCTTGTGATGGAGGATGGGAGCGACGGCATCAGGTCCTGAAGTTCTTTTAAAATGTCAGCCGTGGTGGCACCGGGGAAGCAGTGAGTGGTAGCGTTAAAGAAACAGATGTTTCTGGTTATGGAGTCACCAATTATTAGTGTGGTTGGGGAGAAAAGGGGACGAGAAGAGGCCGGTTGTGTGGTTCCAGAGCAGGACTGAGGATGGAGTGTGTGAGCTGCCGAGTGTTGTGTTGGAGTAGCAGTAACAGACCTGAGAGAAGGGCTACCCGACGGTGCAGGGTAGAGACGGCCTCCGGAGCGTCTGAGCACAGCCTCCTTCAGGATCCTACGTCGGGAAGCGGAGGCCGATCATGCCCAGCGGCAGACTGGCAGCCCAGCTGATCACCATTTGCCGCCAGTGCGGGAGATGTAGCCGGTGGAAGAGATGCAACAGTGTCAGCAGGCACTATCCGCCGAAAGGGATCCGTATCAGGGAGACTCGAAGCCGCAGGTGCATCCGCTGGATGGACCGGAGTGTTGTCAGACAGGGCTGCATAGCGGTTGGAGAGGCCGATGTCCGGAGGAGAGGCAACCCCGTCCGAGCCTCTCTTGCAGCCACGGACCACCACTTCAGCCCAGGTTGACTGATGCTTCGGAGTTCAGCAAGAGGAAAGCCATGGAAGGCTAGAGGGGTCCCATAACACGGTGTCCTGGATGTTAGCGGTTGCGCTAACAATATTAAAAAATCTATTTGATAAAGGATTATGATCTCTGACATTTGCAGACACGGCCAGAGGAGAAATGCCATCACAATTAGCCAGAACCCAAAGGTACACCTTTTCAAAGCTTGTTGTGTCCAAACAAACAAACAATATAAATCTCAATGTTATTTAAAGTAATGTAACCATTATTAAAAAAGTGTGTCCAATTTCTGTAGTAATAATATCAGGTATCGATTTTAAGTCACAAAGTTTTTCCATAACAATATTTATGAAAAATATAATCCTTTTGACCTCACAACCTTGAAGGCCCTAATCTCAAATTATCAAACTAGCACATGAATGCACCACAGAAATAACACACTTGCAGTTTAATCTTTTATTTTCTGTACAGAAGGCTATTTAATCAGGTACGTTTATAATGTATACACGTTATATTTATATTTTTAATATCATTCAACAGAGAATTTAAACATTTCTATTGTTACCTACAGTTCACTTTAGGAAACAATCATTTAAACACATTAATTTACTATTAACCTCATTCATGTCATTTGTACAAAATGTTCATCCAGACCGGCTGAGTTGTTAGCACGATGAAGTGTTAGCTCCACTGTGGGACAAACACAACTAGAGAATTACGTTTAAATAATTTGAGAATAAAGCCGCAATATTTCATTGAGAATATAAAATTAATTATAATTAAAAATTAAAGTAACAGTGTAGTAATCATTTTAACTATCCGTCATAATTAACAGGCGAGAGCTGTCTGACAGCCTTTAATTGTCACGAGTGATGATGATGACTTAAAGTTATGGATTTCACCAGTAAACACATTATTATTAGAGATGAAGGATTTTACTTGATTTTAAAATGACTAGTTCTTTGCAGTAATAACCTCTAATTTCCCAGGTTTTCTCATCATACATGACAAAAATCGATAAAAAACAGAAAACTACAGATACTTCTGGTTAAAAATTATTGTTATATTCTGATGTTTTTTCTGATGTTTTCTTCAAATAAACTATTGCTATGTAGAAAGTCACACAGCTGTTTGGTGACTGCTTTCTCAAGGATCTTAGAGAGAAATGGAAGGTTAGATTTAGGGCTATAGTTTCCATGCTGTTTTCTTTAATTTGCGAGTTTTGGTGTAATCAGACCTGTGTTTTTACTGTCTGAACCAGACCCTCACCTGTGCATTACACCCTCCTCTTCCTCTCTGTCTCTCCGCTTGTTTTTATTATAACTTGTTTACTTTTTAGTAACTGTTGGTTTTTCTTCTTTCAATCTGTCTTCTCCTTTTGTCCTTTCCTCCAATTATTTCCTGTATGTATGTATATGTATGTCCTGTAATCTAAATTCTTCTCCTCTCCTCTTATTGTCTTCTCTCCTTTTTTCTTCTCCTTTCCTCCTATTGTCTTTTCCCCTTGTCTCATCTGCTCTGCTCCTCTCTCTGTTTCTTCATTTCCTCTTCTCTCATCCTTGTCTCTTTTCTCTCCTCTCCATGTTTCCCGTACTCTCCTAAATGTTACCTCTCCTTGTCTCATCTCTCCTCTCCGCTTCCTATCCTCACCTTGTTTCCTCACTTACTGTCCTCTCTTTGTTTCCTCTACTCCTTGTTTCATCTACTCATTTCCAATCAAACATACCTTTGATTGATTTGTGATCAGACTCCAAACTTCACAGTACTAAAAAGCTATCTGCTGCAGTCGTTTGCCTGGGGGAATTACCCATAATTCAGTTTCCTGCAATAAAATCCACAGTAATTTTCATCTGTTTGCCCAGCCACCATAAAAACAAAGTATTTCCTCTTCCTCCTTGCTGACCTCTCGTTCGTCCTCATATGCTGTGTCGCAGAGAATGGGACGAAGGTAAAGTCCTCATCTTCGACGACTCCTTTCGAGCACGAGGTCTGGCAGGAAGTCAACAGTTACTGCCTCTTTATCACAGACATTGCTACCAGGAGTTAATGGCATACTAGCGCCAGACTGTGAGCCCAATTTAGATCAGCATGAACACTCTGAGGGCCAGGACCTTATCTGGTAAGGTTTAACAGACTTATTGGACTAACTGAGCGACCAGCTGATTCTTCTTCTGTGGATAAACTGCTAAAAACAGTTAAATAAGGTCCAATGGTGGTCCACAGGAAGGAAAGGGACTTAGGTTCTCTGTTCTGTTTCCTCAAACATTTTGTGCTTTTCCACAATATTATATTATATTGGACTCGTGGAATTTTAAACATGCTGATTCTCTGATATCTGATATGCTGATACTAAAAATAACAGTTTTCCTCATGTTTCCTCTTATTCATGATTTCATCTGAAAGTGATCCTCCCTCTGTACCTGAACTTTTGAAGTCTTTGTTGTTTCTCGCTTTGTTTCCAGATGGACAGTTTCTTCTAATAAACAAAGTCAGATGTATTCTGTCATCACTGTCATCTGTTGCTGCTATTTTGGCCTAATGTAACGTTACCCAAAATACAATAAAACAAACTTGTTTCCCACCATTATTTTATCTGGATGTGGTTTGTTTGTGAATTAATTTTAACATAGTTAATTCATTTACTGATACACTTCCTCAGAGCTTTTTGTGCTGTAGATGAAAGTAGTGAACTAAATGAACTATTGACAACAAATTCTGTGGATTATTGTGATTTAAAGCCTCACTTTATTTAGAGAAACATGTTTTACTGATGCTCTTAGCATCATAGTGTAAAAGTCTAACTTTGGCTACACCCAAAATAAATAAGTTAATTTAGTTTACAGCCTTTTTTTAAGTTGTAATTTATACAAAACACATTATTTCCATAATTTAAACTTCATTTAAGTTTCACCATTTTGATCAAGACGCATTTCAATGCAGTCTGTTCAGGTCAAGAGAGATGCTCATAAACACACAATGTTAAACACACCTGATTTCCTGTAAATGGAGAGTGAGGATCAGGAAGGGAAGCTGAAAGTGTTCAGACTCCATTTTGAGTCGACAGAACAGAAGGAGGAAAACTGAAGGGTGAGTGTTAATCCAACATTTTTATTATTTTACTGTAAAAGTCCGTTTTCTCCCTGTTGACCGTAGAGGAAAGAAATGTTAGAGTGAACTCAACAGTTTGATTCATCTGTGGACACGAAGTCGTGACTGGCTGAATACAACACGTTAAACCTGCAGCAAGAAAACAAGCACAGAAAGACGCGCGTGAAGACATTTTAGCTTAGGTGTGTGGGTACACACACTTTCCTTCGACACCGAGTGGTTACAAGCATGGTCGTAGGAGGTCACCGAGGTCTGGACCTCCGTAATTATATATTTATGTAGCCTATAAATGATCATTCGAATAAAAACCATTGATAACACAATCAAGGCCAAGCGGGCGCAGCTGAATATACACACTGTAAAAAAGGATTGGATCAATAAGTTATAGTAACTTCTTTCTATAATTTACCTCCACTTAACATAATAAGTTATGAAATTTCAACTTAATTTAATGAGTTATCACTATCACAACTCAGGTTTGTAAGCCAGTTCAGTGAAATGTAAATTTCAATGTGTCAACTTAATTTATAAGTGTGAGTTGGAATATGGTAACCGGATCTCTTAAAAAGTGACCATGACCCCGGTGTGGCGACAGTATTAATGCGCGGTGCAAATAGTCCTGAATATTTTCTCTTGATCTGATATACGACTAATAACTATGCTGATTGATTTTTGTAACACATTAATGAGGCGCACCACCCAATTGCAATTCCCCATTGAGAGAAGAAGAGGAACGCAAATTAAGCCTACTGACACGGGTGAGCAGATAAGTAGCGGATGAATACGTTATTTTCCAGCAAGATGTGGATGAGACTTGGCAGCGGGAAAGCGGGTCTTTTCGGATTGGAGCAAGAGAAGCAAGGTGAGTCTGTCATTTATAATAATTGTAACCCAATTCAATGAGTCAATTAACTTAGTTATGAAGAAACGAATTGCTGTCATGAGACTTTCTGAACACGGGATAGTTCAGAGCAGCTTATTAATGCATGTAACGTTAGTGTTCAGCAGTGAACCCAACTTTACAGTGTTTACGTTAGTCCGAGAATCACTTTTTACTTTTATCAAGAAGAAACACAATCTTTTATGACATTCACCCCTCAAAAAAGGACATTTATGGCGCTTGGTAGTTGTTTGAATGTTTGAGTTAGCTGCTTTACTAGAGCCTCTGTGTGTAACTTAGTGTCAGTAATTAGCCTTGGCCCGTCCCAACGATGTGTGGAGTAGCGTCGACGTTTCAGTAATTAGCCGTGACCCGTAACGTTACCAACGTTGTTTCAGTTATTAGCCATGGCCTGTTCCAACGATGTGGGTGGAGAGGCGTCGGCATTTCAGAAATTAGCCTTGACCAGGTGAGTTGCTACTTAAATTAAAGTTAGCTGCTTCAGCAAAATTAAGAGGATTTGGGCTTTCTTAACATTGTTAGCTAATCTGTGACGAGTTTCTTTTGCAATGTTATTCGCTTATTAGTGAGTTTGTACTCAGCTCCAGCTTAACCTGCCAATTTAAAAAAATAAAAAAAATAGCGGGAGGAAGGTAGACTTTACTGGCGCCATCGTGTGTTTCACTGTCTGACTGTGAGAAGAGCAAAGAGAGAGCTGAGCAGGTGAAGATAACATTAGTTGATTTTTTTTTTTTTTTTGAAAGAGTGCATTGACGTTAAAACGGTAGCCTCTGATCCACCACATCTGTTTTAACAGGCAGTGGCGAGTTGTTAAATCAGTGTTTCCCATACGTAATTTATTTGTGGCGTCCCGCCACAATATCAACGCAGACTGCCACATATTGATTTTCGTTTTTTTTTACTAGGCCTATTTAAAATCTAAATCTAATCCCGCCCCTCTCCCTCATGAACACAGGAAAAGAAGATGTTGTAGTAAACATTTATACTTAAAACTATGTTTTTTTAACTCTTTTTAGGTAAAAGTAGTCTACAATGCTGCTGCGTGTCATCATATCAGAAAATGAAGACATCCCATCCAGTGTTGAGGAGCTGTATCAGGTGTTGCGAACAAAGCTTGGTCTGAGAGGTGGATTCATTTTGCAATTTGAGGATCCTGAGTTCAATAATCAGTTGTGCAATCTAACAGACATCAAAGACCTTCCTGTGAAAGTGTTGTTCACAGCTGATGACGTCTCAGATTCTACACTGGACACTTGCAGCCTCCCTTCTCTTAATAGAGATTGTGTTGAATGGCCTGACCCCTTCCCGATTCCACAGTTCTCATATGATGTGGAGCTGCAGCTGAAAGAAGCCAATGCTAAGGATGGATCTGTAATGGTGATTCCTAAAGGTTTAAAGACATTCTTGATATACTGGCCGACAGTATGTCAAAGATTAGTGCTTATCCTGAGAGGCATCACTATGAGAATGAAGCCAAAGCACTTGTGGAGAAGCATCCTAGTCTGAAGGAGCCAGGGTCGGAAAAGGGATGGTACTCGTGGTTTCACAGCCTGAAATTTAAGCTTGGAAACTATCGGCAAAAGTTAAGTGCAGCAGGATGCCCTGAGGTGGTGGTAAAGAAAAGGAGAAGGTTCGAAGGGGAAAGTGTAAAGAAGTCAAAGTAGGGTGAGGTCAACTACTGTCCAGATCCGCCTGAAGGACAGAGTCCTGAAAACATGGAGGAGAAGCGTAATATGATGGAGGCTGAAATGCTGAAAAGAGACCCTGATCCCCAGCTGGTAGAAGACCTGATGGTTGCTACGTTTTCCCAGCGCAGAAAAGAGATAATTGGAGATCAGCCACTCATCACAGAAGTCATTTCCAGATGGCCAGCTCTGTTGCATGAGAGACAGGTACTCAGTTGAGAGATAGAAGCACGTTTTGTCTGATACTGTGTCTTGTTCATAATTATGTTTGACTTATATTTTCTATCTGTCTCTTCTCAGATCAGGACGGAGTTCAAGAGAATGGCCACCAAAGACCTTCTTCTGGAATATTTTCTCGACAGACGTGATGGCCTGGTCCCAAGACTGCTAGAGGTGTACAAAGCAGCAATCAAGACTGGAAAGAAGCAATCACTCAAAGATATTTTGGACTGCCTTCAGAAAGATGTAAGTGGAGAGCAGATCATAAAATTAGGCAAAATGTATTGTCTTGGCTAAAACATTTTCATCTTACTGCATGTTTCTTTTTCTTGTAGGATACAAATGAGAAGAGAAGGACTGCTGCCTTGCTTGGTCTGCCACACTACATATCAGGCGAAGATCCATCAACTGTCGTCAGGAATTGTGACGTAAGACCATTATGATTTCTGTAACGCAAAACTGTTAGTGTGTGTATATGGTATTCTTTTACTGTGGGACTTTTTCTTTTCCCAGGGTAGATTTTCAAGAAAGAAAAATACTTCATACCCCAACCCAGACTTATTAACGTTGCCTGTCTAATAGTCATGAAAACTCATTCAATTCATTCAAACTTTACTTTGCATTTTCTCATAACTTAAATGATTTCAATTTATGTGGTTTATAATGTGTAATTTACACTTTTTTTTCCTTATATATGGCTGTTCCGGTCACTCATCTTTTAGAGAACAATTTTAAAACATTTGCTAAAGTGCTTCAGTGTCTGAACTATTTCTGTCTCACTTCCAAGGGTTGAAATTCTGAAAATGAATTGATAGTTGGTGTTACTGATCAGGTTCAGTCTATTTGGGGAACAACTAAAGGGTGTGACTTTCCTGCTCTGTATTTGAGGATTATGATTGCATTTTAAATTAGCCTTTTAAAGCCTATATAATTGTAGACTGAAACAGTCACACACTGTCTCTGCTTTTCAAGGCTCACAGGGAGACTCTGGATGAAACCATGAAGGGGGATGCAACTTGGCCTGCTGATAGGCTATGAAGGTGCTGAACGGGATGCATTTCCACGGGAGGTCTTCGAGATAGCTGTTGTGGTTGAGGAGACAACATTAAAGATGTGGCATGCAGCTTTGCCATGCTCATGGGTGTCATCTACTGTGTCAATCTCGAGTACCCAGAAGCCATGAAGTATTCCTTTGAGTTTCTTCAGAGAGTGGTGATTAAGATAAAACCAGACCAAGCATGTGCCCGCGTACATGGACTAAGAAACAGAATCCTGAGGTACAGACTGTAACACCTGCTCATTTTCTCAAGATTCTCATGTGGATATTGTTCCTGTCAAGACTTCATTGTTCTTTTATATGCACTTTCAGCACTGTTCTGTACTGTGGAAAAACAGCACTGTCTCACAATTTAAAACTTAATTTTGAGAATGATAGAGGGGCCAAAACACTGATCCTCCCCACTTTTTTATTGGACGGATTGTGAGAGCTGATAGTGTCGACTGTTCGAAGTCTTGTGACGTTAGAAGTGGAGTACTTAAGACAACACAAACCAGCCTCAAAGTTCTTTATCTTCAATGGAACAAGACTGTAATGGACTTGGACATTTGAGTTTTGTGCATTTCCTTTTCAATATTACTACTCATTAGTCACCATGTTGTAGAAATCACAAGCATTTTACTGATTACAGCTGATGGTATCAACTGTTCTCTCCTCAACAGCAGTTTTTCTTTATTACATTTTTTGATTGTTAAATGCAGTTGCAGGCAAACGGTCTCAAGGTTTATATCATCTCCTTTAAATGAACTGATTGGTATAAGAGTTGGTTGGGTTGACCTCGCTCTTCATAGGTTTACTATGTTTAAATACTGTTAGAACATGTTAAATTATCATAAATATGGTCTCACTTTGGCACTTGTGTAGTCTGAGATAAATGTTTTCATTGGCTTTTAGGCTTGTTGCGTCAATTACAATTGTATCTGAAGGAGACGAAGGCTGTGAGTTGAGGTACTTACAATAAATTGTTGAATACGTGAATTGTAAGTTCATTCATTGTACTCTTAAGAAACTGGTGAACTTGCCATTATTAGTTGAGATAGGGGATGGAAATTAAAAACACAAGTCTACTTAATTTGAAATTATAAGTTCAATTGCTGCCTTAAAAACATGAGTTAACCTAACTTCAAAAGGCAATTGGTATGAATATAGTCAATTATCTTAACTTAAAAATGTGAGTTGAAAGGGTATAGACTTGCATGTTTGTTTGACAAAAAAGAGTAAGTTTCATTGACTAGACAATGTAATACAGATAGTTGGTTTAACTCACGGGATCAAGTTGAAACAATAAATGATCATTCATTAAACAACTTCCTTAACTTAACTTACAGAGTTGAAATAGCTTAGATTTGTATGTTTGTTTGACAAAAGAAAGCAAGTTTCTTTGAATGAACAATGTAATATAGGTAGTTGGTTTAACTCACAGTATCAAGTTGAAACAATAAATGAACATTAATTAAACAACTTGTGGAAGGTAACACCATGAGTTAAAATAAAGCTTTTGTTAAAGTTGAGTTTACTCACACTTTTAAGGCAGCAATTGAACTTAAGTTTTTAAGTTAAACTCCCTTGATAATTTTTACAGTGCAGTCGTTCCCCTCATTTCAACTTGAAAAACTGTTTCACGCTCAGTGTCCACACTTGGGGAAACACATGATGTACATGAAAACTGTGTGCGTGCAGAATTTTGGGCGATACATTTTGTGAATTTCTGGGTGGGTGAAATAGGTTGACACCTGTCATTAAGAGAGAGGCTCGGGCACAGCAGCATAACTTAATAATTCAATCTCCCACAACAGGATCGGTCAGATTCCAAAATTGACTTTAAAGTTTAGTGTTCTTCTCCACATCCAAAAGGTCTCTCACACAGTCCAGTTCATACAGTGAAACTGTTTGGAGTAAAGCAGCCGTCCTCCTGATCAACCCTGATCTCCATTAGTGCGTCTAAATTTTAAAAATTGGATTCTGTTTCCTTTGCTGATAGGCCTATTTGTTGTGACCAAAACAATCTAAAGCTAATTATTAATTTTCTTATTTGGCGCCCGAAATAGACTAACGACGTCAATGGCAACAGGTTTCACATGTTCTGTTTTCTGCATCTCCTGTACTAAAGTTCTTTAACTGTGGTCCTAAATTTATTTGTGTGCTACTATTTATTCCATTTATGAAAAAGTTAGAGTATAGCCCTGATAATACACATTAACCGAAGAAAACAATAATACACATCGTTTTACCTCTCAGAGTGACTGAAGTCCAGAAGATGAGTGTGTGTAAGGAGGAAGAGGAGGACAGAGCAGGGTCTGCAGGATCCACCTGTCTGTCTATGAAGAGTGACCAGTCCATAAATCTTAATCCTCCAGACTTCAGTAATGAACCCGGACCCTCAGGCACAAAGTAAGAGACCACTTCTACCAACTCATTTATATGACTCTTTTGAAGTCACCTCAGTCGATTCTGTAAATTATTATTATATTTTATATATATGTTTTTACAAAAATGTATTTGTAAACTAAAATTAAACAAACATTTTTGTGATAAAGAGAAATCATTGGTGCCATCTTCCTCTTATTATCTGACAGCTGTCAGTCACCTAGAGAAGCTGTAATCTGATCTAAGAAAGGATTAATACAAACTAACTCCTAATTATGGGCGCCAGTTTGTGTGTGGTTAGAGTTTTAAAAGGCTTCGGGTCTGGGCCTAGATGCCGTTGGGCATTCGATCACTGGGTACACATTATTTTCAATTTTTGGATTTGAATAATGGACCTGGATGACTGAGAATCTTCATAGACGATTTGAATAATGAGATGCTTTTTAATTATTATTCCAGCTCTTGTGGCCGTGCTGTGTTGCTTATTTATTGTGCGTGACTGTTTCTGGTTTTCATTTTTCTCTTAGTTGTCTTACTATGTCACCTGTTTATTGCTGCTGTTCAGCTGGTTGTCTTTTACTATTAGTATTATAATTATTATTATTATTTTTATTTTTTGTTTGTTTTGTTTTTCTCCTCCCCAAGCCCCCCTTTCTGTTCTGTTGCAGGTTTCATTGCTTTCTGCAAGTGGTGTTTCCCTCTGCTATTCCCTGTTTGTGCCCCACCCATCCCCATGTCTGCCCCCCTGTCCGGCCCTGTGACAAATCAATGCACAATTACATAAATAAAAAAACAGAAAAAGGAGTGCATTAATACTCTTGTTAAAGTAAAATCTGTCTAGCACAATGTGGTATCCAGCTCATCATACTCTATCCCAGGCTACTGGGCAGGACGGGTTTAAAAAAAACAAAAAGGCTTTTTAATCAGAGATTTTTATAAAGGATTTATGTGATATGAATAAAAACATCTTGGTGTTTGCAGAGTTCAGTCCAACAAACAGAGATCCAGCTATTTGTCTATGAAGAATGACCAGTCTGGAAGTCCTCCAAGCGTCAGTAATGAACCTGGACCCTCAGTTCTTAGCTCAAGTTCAGCAGCCAAACTCACAATTTATCTTGGTCCATAATGAAGAGGTGTGATCAGCCCCCACTTCAAAGCCTAAATTGAGAGACCAGACCTAACTTCTGGAAATGTTCAGATAGTCTTCCCTTCTCTTTTGAGTCTCTGTTTGGGGAAGTAACTTCTTTAAATGCGTGGAACCTTTGATCAAGCTGCAGATCACAGTCCAAAACGGAGCAAGGCTGATATAAGATGTTTATATTTCAAAATGTCTCTGCATGTGTTCACTCGCACAGACTTCACTCGGTTAAAAACTTAGTAGCCTATGACATTTCAAGTTGCGGTGGATATTTTACAAGCGTAGACCAGTAATGGAAACAGAGACAAAATTTAATTTCCAAGATTAGGTAATCTACAAGTAAAAAACTTGAATATTCTCTGACATTATAGTCACACATTTATGAGAGAAACTTTGCAAGGCTGCAACATCTCACACACACCTCTGCTGTGTAGCATAGCCTACATGCAGTGAAAAGATATATTAGACTTTGCAATCGGATTTAGCAGTGAGGAAAAAGCCTACACTGTGGATTGGGTGTATTCAGACACTAGAGTGATTTTTGATTTGTGACTTTAATTTACTTGAATTTCCGATTTTTACACTTGTAAATTTGACCCTTTCATCTATCTTTTTTTTTTTCTTGGTTTAGGCTATTAATCCCCACGCTGGCTCCGGATCTTTTGGACGCATAAAATAGTCAATCTAAATATGTGAATACAATTATAGCCTACAGATGGGCGGCATCTCAGAAACCGTTAATTAAGATTTAATTAAGATCTCCACTCCAAAATCAGAGGCTGCGGGGCTGACTGTATCAATGTAATGCTGTTGTGTTAGGAATGTCACTTCAGCTGCAACCTCATTGGAACAAGTCTGGATGAAATCTAAACACATTTTATCAAGTGGTATGTATTAATATCCTACTTCACGTCATTAACACTGGGTACAGATGTGGTGTGCAGTCCACATATACAGGGTAACCTCGAATTAACAATGAACAAAACCTGCTCGGAGCAGTTTAGAGATGCAACGTAAATTGCCATGGCAACAGATCTCGGGTAACGCCTATCCACCTGCCATAGTGCAGGTTAATCGGGACGTGACACCCGACGTCACAAAGTTACGTGAAGTTACCTGGATAAGATAGTTACCTCTTCGTAGAACAGACCATACGCCTCTTGAGTGTGGGAGGAAAAGAATTCTGAGGAAGGTGCAAAGCATATTTAAAATGTTTAATACAAATGTTCATGGTGGTTAAAACCTGTTTTCACATGGCGGTAAAATGTGAAAATTTAGATTTTTTTTTTTTTGCTGGGGGAGGGGTTTACAATCACAATGTCTATTCAACCGTCGACAATTTCTCAGCCATCACTGATGGACGATGGCATCGTCTATCGGCCCAACCCTAGTTCAACACAGTTATTTAGACCACTTCTAACCTCAGTTCAAACCCAACTAACTCAAGGTAAGCTGCTCAGAGTGACAGTAGTAGTAGTAGTAGTAGTAGTAGTAGTATAGAATAGTAAAGGGCATATTCAGCTCTCCTTAATGGAATCTTTTACTGTGTAAGCTGCAGGAAGTGTTGAGTTTGTATTAATAACAAAGTACAGACAGATCACTAAATTTTTAATAACAAAAGATAGGAAAATCAGTTAATGTTTCTGAAAGCAGTAGAGTTGAAATAAAAGGAACAATCACATTTATTACAGACTGAAAAATTAATTTAAACTGAAAAGTAACACTGTGACCATCTGAGCTTCTACACAGTGTTGGCCAAATCTTTATTTTTCAACAAGCAATAAATTATTTCAAATCATTTTCATTTCTAATGAAATGTCTTCACAGAGGGAGAAAAAGGACTAATGTTTCTGCAGAGGATCAGCTGTCCTGCTGTGCTTTGTGTCTGAGAGTCCTTAAGGATCCAGTCTCTACCAGCTGTGGACACTGGTTCTGCAGACAGTGCATCACCTCATACTGGGACCAGTCTGTTTCATCAGGAGACTCCTCCTGTCCCCAGTGTGGAAAAAGATCCAGAACAACAGCGGGACTGCAGACAACCAGTCAGAGCAGCACTGTACAAAGTAAGACTGGACATCTGTCTACTGATGTCGTCATGTCTGAAAACAGTGGCGAGTTGTATCTCAAAACGTCACCGGTTTGCAACGTTGTCGGATTGAATGACGTTTCTTTGCAATGGTTTGCAATGTTCCGCAACAAGCTTAGAAGTAGGTTTTCTTCTGTTTGGTCGGCGTGTCACAGGTGTTACCCAATCAGCTGCGACAAAGGCAGGGAAATGCAGTGCGCTTGCTTACACAACAGGGTGTTCGAGGCACCAGCGTTTGTTGAAAAAAAACGCTATGCTATGTTACGTCGGCACTGAACTCGCCCCAGGACTTCCTGTTTTTAATGTTTTCATGATTATCATAAGTTCAGAAAGATATAGATAGATATTGACATATTTCTCTTCCAGCAGATGATGGTCTGAAGGAGGTTTTAGATGAACATAAGATCAGTCTGAGGAGGAGATGTGAATGTGTGACTGAAGGAACTGATAAAACAGGAAGGGGAACCCTCCTCAACAGGATCTACACTGAGCTCTACATCACAGAGGGACAGAGTGAAGAGGTTAATACCCAGCATGAGGTGAGGCAGCTTGAGACTGCTTCCAAGATGGAGACCTTCCATGACACTCCAATCAAGTGCCACGACATCTTTAAAGCCTTACCTGGCCAACAGAAACACATCAGAGTGGTTCTGATGAACGGCGTTGTTGGCGTTGGAAAAACCTTCTCAGTGCAGAAGTTCACTCTGGACTGGGCAGAGGGCTCGGAAAACCAAGATGTCAGTCTGCTGGTTCTGCTTTCGTTCAGGGAGCTGAACTTGATCAAAGATGAGCAGTACAGTCTTCTCACGCTGCTCCATGTTTTCCATCCAACATTACAGAAGGTCCCAGCAGAGAAGCTCGCTGTCTGTAAACTGTTGTTCATCTTTGACGGCCTGGATGAAAGCAGACTTTCATTGGATTTCCACAACAATGAGGTTGTGTCTGATGTCACACAGAAGTCATCAGTCAACCTGCTGCTGACAAACCTCATCAAGGGGAATCTGCTTCCCTCTGCTCTCGTCTGGATAACTTCCAGACCTGCAGCAGCCAATCAGATCCCTCCTTCATCTGTTGACAGGGTAACAGAAGTACGAGGCTTCACTGACGCCCAGAAGGAGGAGTACTTCAGTAGGAGAGTCAGTGATGAAGAGCTGTCCAGCAGAATTATCTCACACATCAAGACCTCCAGGAGCCTCCACATCATGTGTCTAATCCCAGTCTTCTGCTGGATCACTGCTACAGTTCTGGAGCACATGTTGACTACAGACCAGAGAGGAGAGCTGCCCAAGACCCTGACTGACCTGTACTCACACTTCCTGCTGGTTCAGACAAAGAGGAAGAAGCAGAAGTATAATGAGGGACATGAGACGAGTCAACAGGAGCTGATGGAGGCTGACAGGAACGTTCTTCTGAAGCTGGGGAGGCTGGCGTTTGAACAACTGCAGAAAGGAAACATCATGTTCTACCAAGAAGACCTGGAGCAGTGTGGTCTTGATGTCACAGAGGCCTCAGTGTACTCAGGAGTTTGTACAGAGATCTTCAAAAGAGAGAGTGTGATCTTCCAGAAAACAGTCTACTGCTTTGTTCATCTGAGCGTTCAGGAGTTTCTGGCTGCAGTTTACATGTTCAGCTGTTACACCAACCGGAACACAGAGGTACTGGAGGACTTCCTGGGAAACAAACATGCTGATTCAGCCCTTGATGTCTTTCTGATGGGAGCAATAATGAAATCCCTTGAAAGTAAAAATGGCCACCTGGACCTGTTTGTTCGCTTCCTTCATGGTCTCTCTCTGGAGTCCAACCAGAGACTCTTAGGAGGCCTGCTGGGTCAGACAGACAACAGTCCAGAAATCATCCAGAGAGCCATCAACAACCTGAAGAAGATGAACACAAAAACCTCTCCTGACAGAAGCATCAACATCTTCCACTGTCTGGTGGAGATGAATGACTCATTACATCAGGAGATCCAAGAGTTCCTGAAGTCAGAGAACGGATCAGACAAGGAACTCTCTGTGGTCCACTGCTCAGCTTTGGCCTGCATGCTGCAGATGTCTGAGGAGGTTCTGGATGAGTTGGACCTAAAGAACTACAACACATCAGTGGAGGGACGACACAGACTGATTCCAGCTGTGAAGACCTGCAGAAAGGCTCTGTAAGTCCAGATGTGATTGTGCGGTGGTGAGAGGGAGAAGCTCCCAAAACACAGTGTCTACACAGAAATACAAAAACAGTAAAAGGTAGTGATACAGACAGTATATTATTAATAGTAATAATGATAGCAATTTTCCAGAAGAAGTCAAGTTAGTAACATGCATTAGTGGGATATGATTGTGGAGAGTGAGGGGAGAAGAGCATCAGCTCGCTTTTAGAACATACACACTTTACACACGTGCACAATATAAAACCAGCTCACTATAACATTTTCCTAAACTAGCATTAAATCTGCTTACTGAAATAATTCTACATGTGTTACACTGCAAATGTCTACAAATATAATTTTTGTGTTTATATCTATCAAGTTAGTGACACATATCTTCTATCATATTCTACAAAACACAAACAAGCCCATGACTGAGGTAAATATATGCAAGTGCAGTTACAAGCTACAGTGATTTTTAGAGCTCATTGAACATCATGTTAAAATAAAGTTTAACCAACACAGTACGCTGTTAATCACAATATGACGCATGTTCATGTTACACTCAATTGGAAGACCCTTTTGTCTAAAGCAGTACTCTGTAGTTTATTATGTTGCTCAAAGACACTTTGACACGTGGACAGGAGGAGCTCAAGTTTGAAACCAGTAACCTTGTGATCAAAGGCTGACCAGTTGCTCAGCTGATCTACAGCCGCTCATGTTCATGTGTTTTGTGATGCAAAATGCATTGAGTCTATTTTTATAATAAAGTGCCACATTTTATTATACTTTGAAGTTTGATATTTTCTATCATCACAGACTTTCTGGCTGTGGACTCTCACAGACTCATTGTGAAGTTGTGGCCTCAGCTCTGAAGTCCAACCCCTCCCATCTGAGAGAGCTGGACCTGAGTCACAATAACCTGCAGGATTCAGGAGTGAAGCTGCTGTGTGCTGGACTGGAGAGTCCACACTGTAGACTGGAGACCCTGAGGTCAGTTCATGTGTCGTGTGATCAGCCCAACTGTTTTGATTATTGTGTATTTAAATTTACAACCCTGTTGTAATGTGACGATTAAAATCTACCTTCTCCACATATAATGTATTTTTATACACACTCTTCAAAACAATGTTTTTAAGGAACTGATACGTTGATATATAAAGCCCCCCTCTCTCTCTCTCTCACTCACTCACTCACACTCTCTCTCTCACACTCACACTCACACACACACACACACACACACACACACACACACACACTCTAAAACTTACATACAGGAGCACAGAGAGTGTCAAGCATATTTCCAAATGCAGCTGTTTGAGGTTTCAAGTCTGATCTGTCACCAACAACAGGTGATACTTCAAAAAATCTGAAAATTATGTAACTTTCTGTTCTGACTCAACCAGTAAAGAGGAGCATAAGAAGCACCATTTAAGATGAAGAGAACATTCCTCTAACTTTACTGGCAAATTTGATGCAGTTATAAATACGATTGATGGTGAAACTTGTGGTCAGTCAGCTTTTTGTTGATGGAGATGACAGTAGTGATGAGGAGAGTCTCCTGTAAATCTGTGGTTTGAAATGTGCATCATATTTTATAATGCCTTATGTTTCATATTAGCCTTTTGAAATTCTATATAAAACATCTTTATCAGTATTTTTCATAAATGACACTGATTGTTAGAAATTGGAAGAAAATGAAAGTAACAAAAGAAATAAAATTTCTGATTTGATAGTTATTCCAGACTGGCTTGAGATCAGCAGCATAATACTGATCTGTGTTGCCATGAAAAGGTGTATGAATGTTGTGCTGACATTTGGATGATCCACAATAACACAAAAGCTCATTGTACATATAACAGTAATGTTGAGCTGCACATTTAAAACCTGATCAATTCTGATTGGGTTATAAATGGATTGTTATCTGCATCATTTTTTAATTCAGATTGAGTTCCTGCTGTTTGTCAGAGATCAGCTGTGCTTCTCTGGCCTCAGCTCTGAAGTCCAACCCCTCCCATCTGAGAGAGTTGAGGCTGAGTGACAATGAGTTGCAGGATTCAGGAGTGAAGCTGCTGTGTGGTTTTCTGGAGATTCCACACTGTAGACTGGAGACTCTGAGGTCAGACACCATTTTTTATTAAACGTTTTTAATTTGCAATAACAGCACCACCTATGGGCATATTAGTTTGAACTTTGGTCCCTGGAGTGAGTAGACTAACTTGAACAATTCGGCTCATGTTTCATGTCAATGTGAGTTGTAGTCATTAAGGAACAGATAATACACAATGCCACCTAGGAGGTAATTGCACCAAAATTTGCACAGCCCCTTCAAGAAGGCATGCCAGATAAGGTGCCCAAATTTGGTGTAGATTGGCCATTCCAAAGCTAAGATATGACATCACAACAACTTCCTGTTTTGTGTAAACAGTTTTTATCTTTTCAAGCAAAGTAATAAAATAAAAAAATGCGTATAAATTTTGGGAGCACTAACTTTTATCAGCTTTGTCCATAGATGACCAAGTTTGGTACCGGTGGGACTTACCGCTTTGGAGGAGTTAATTAAATTAGGTTTTTCATTTTTCGCATAGCAAAAACAAAGTCTAGGCGGAAATGGCTGTGGCCTATACCAGGAGATTCAGCACCCGAACGCGTGGATATAAGGTTTCGATACGCCTTCATATGTGAGAATTGGAAGGATTTTTAAGGGCCAAACTTTGGACCTTGCTTGTAGCGCACACTACAGGTTAAAGTGAGTGAATTTTTGCTGTTGTTCGTAAGACTGGGGGCTGCAGTGGTTAGCACTGTCACCTCACAGCAAGAAGGTTCGTGGGTTCAAAACCCCGGTCGTCCCGGCAGTTCTGTGTGGAGTTTGCATGTTCTCCCTGTGTCTGCGTGGGTTCTCTCCGGGTGCTCCGGCTTCCTCCCACTGTCCAAAGGTTGATTGGTGACCCTAAATTGTCCTTAAGTGTGAGTGTGAGGGGTTGTCTATGTGTTGCCCTGCAATGGACTGGCGACCTGTGTACCCCGCCTTTCGCCCGATGTCAGCTGGGATTGGCTCCAGCCCCCTGCGAACCTGTACGCAGGATAAGCGGTTGACGATGGATGGATGGTTGGGACACAACTTTCACTTTGGGATTTCACCAAGAATTCACAGCAATCTGATGTAGAGCGTGAGGTTGATTAGACAATTTACGACAAAATCAAAATACAAACTGACAGGGGCACACACAGAGATTCCTGCCTATTCTTGAGATGGCGGCTGCCTTGACTCCTCGCGTCTCTTCCTAGACTCCTCCACTCGCATCTCGGGTAGGAGGGACTAAGACGTGATGTGAAGAGGGTACAAAGAGAGAAATGAGAAAGACCTATTGTCTTCTAAAGTTACATAATTTATTCTTTATTCAGATTGGGTGTCTGCAGTTTGTCAGAGATCAGCTGTGCTTCTCTGGCCTCAGCTCTGAAGTCCAACCCCTCCCATCTGAGAGAGCTGGAGCTGAGTGGAAACATCCTGCAGGATTCAGGAGTGAAGCTGCTGTGCGATTTTCTGGAGAGTCCACACTGTAGACTGGAGAAGCTGAGGTCAGTTCACTGACTCTGTTACTATTGTAGATTTTATATGTTTATTAACAATCAAACATAATATATGTTCATACATAACTTGCATCCATAAAGATGTACATTTTCTGTTGCTTATATTTTCATGTTACTCGTACTAAATTTAGTTTGCAGTGACAGACTTTTCCAGTAGACATAACATAAACTTTAGAAAATGTCCGCTGTTAGCTGTAAAAGTAAATAAATGTTTAGTTTTTGGTAAATGGTCACATCTGTATACAGAAGATCCTCTGAACTAATAATGTTTTAAATTGAGGAAGTTTTCTGGTTAAGTATAAATATTTTTTTGGTTTCTTTTGATTTCAAGGTGTTTTCACAAATAATGTCTGACCATTGATATTGATCCTTAGAGATCCAGTGTGTAATATTTAGGAGGATCTATTGAAAGCAATGCAATATAATATACATAACTGTTTGAGCACACACGCTCAGTGTATGAATGTGTGTGAATGGTGAATGCAGAAGTAGTGTAAAAGCGCTTTGAGTGGTCAAAGACTAGAAAGGCGCTATACAAATATGGAGCATTTACATTTATGTTTTCAGTGGTGTATAAATGTTGTCCCCATGTTGTGCCGCCATTATTCTACAGTGGCCCACATGGACAAACTGTTTTGCAGAGGGTGTTGTATATGTACAAAGAAGAAGAACAATTAACGGTAGTAGTAGTGGTAGTAGCAGTAGTCAAATAGTTTATTGGAAGTAAGAAAAGAAGAGAAATTTTGACATATGCAGGACCACACGTATTATTTAGATGAACTGCCCAAAGAATGGGCCAAGGGGTATTGACCAAGTGTCCATATGTGGCAAGTTAGGAGTGAGAATGTGTTGTAAGAACACAGACAGATCAAAGCATATTTCCAAACACCGCTGTGTAAAGGATCAGTATTTCTCCTCTTATTCCAGACTGACCTGAGATCAGCTGTATATTATTAATCTGTGTTGACAGTAGGGCTGTAGCTATTTATTATTTAAGTAATCGAGCATTCAACAGATTATTCAATTGAGTAATCGGGAAAAACATACTTTTGCTTGGCTGTCCCCGGATCAGCTGTGTAACTCAACTGGCAATCATGATTTACGTTAAATGCTAACGTTACCTTGTTTCGGGTCTGCTCCGTGAACTCGATGCATAGACTGGATGTTTTCTGCTTAGAGCTAAAGCGTTGCCGTTGTGCTGTTGTGGTAAGCTAGTTCCGTTTTACAGCAGACACTCTGTACAGAGCTGTTTTTTACTTTTAGCTTGAAATGATCCCATATTTTGGACACGTTCTGTCTTTTTCTTTGGTCTGTCTCTTCGTCCCTCGCTATTTTGTATCTCTTCCTCCATTATGCAATCCACACCATCAAATCACGTCGTTTTCACCTGTCTAAAGCATAAGCAAGTATGTATGACCGTAATAATCATCTGTGCAAAACAGTGTACTATAGTTATATGTATTAAACCAAGCAATGATTCTTTCTAGTTTTGGAGTTTCTTGATGCATCAAAAAACCTCCTCCCCTTCTCATGGTTCCCCAAACCTATGAGTCCCTGGGTCACATAACATTGAAACTACTGAAAAAAGGCATTTTTTTCCCATAAGATTATTAATAAATATTAATATAAATAGATAATTATTTTCATATCATTTTGGCATTGCTTTGGAATCCCTGAATCACATGCTACAAAAATGTTTCTAAATAACACTGGTGGTTAAAAGTGAGCCTTCAGAGGTGAGCTAACAGCTCTTAAGGCTCAAATATACTCTGGAGCGGACCGCACACGGACAGCTGCGGACCCCACAGACGCGGACTTGTGTTTTAAACTACTATCTGGATTCAGCTTGGCAGATTCGTTCCACACATGCGCAGTTGATCTGTTGGTGCCCTGGTAGTATAGTCAGCACGCGGTCATAAAAACAGGAGGCAGGCGGGCGTCCACACAGACCCTACGCGTAGCCCCTTTGATTTTTCGCAGATGCGGAAAGTAAAATCATTGCTTTATACTACCAACATTGGGTGAAACTGAGTAAAAACACGCCACTGCATCCTGAGAGAATGTCTGTCAAATATCCAACTTTAAACTAACTTCACTCCGGTCAGTAACCCAATGAAAAAGTCACTCTACTCATTTTAGGGAAAAGCTAATTGATCAGGACATAGTAATGTTGAGCTACAAATTTTAAATTTTAACACACCTGACTGGATTGTAAATGGATTTTTATCTTTTCAAGAAGAGCTCTGCTCAGCGCTGTTCAGTATATTTATTAATTCTGATCGTGTCCCATGTCCAAATTGCACCAAACACGATACAGCACTCCTTGGGTCTGCCTCAACACACTCGCCACGTGTGAGGTCGATTTAGATGAAGAATTCATGACATAATCAAAATACAAACTGACAGGCACACACAGTTTCCTGCCTACTCTTGAGCTGGCTGTTGCCTTGATTTCACGCGTCTCTTCCTTGACTCCTCCACTCGCATCTTGGGTGGGAGGGACTAAGACGCGATGTGAAGAGTCAAGGAGGTACGAACGGAGAAATGAGAAAGGCCTATGGCCTAAGTTACATAATTTATTCTTTATTCAGATTGTGGGGCTGCAGTTTGTCAGAGATCAGCTGTGCTTCTCTGGCCTCAGCTCTGAAGTCCAACCCCTCCCATCTGAGAGAGCTGCAGCTGAGTAACAACAAGCTACAGGATTCAGGAGTGAAGCTGCTGTGTGGTTTTCTGGAGAATCCACACTGTAGACTGGAGACTCTGAGGTCAGACATCATTTTTTATTTCTGTGCTGAGATTAATATGATGTGAAAGTTGTGGTGACACTAAACTGCAGACATAAGGCTGATATTATACTGATCCACACTTGAGTATCTTAATGCTAAAGTCTATTTGCTTCTTCAGTGGTTTATTCCATTGACTAAATGACTATAATGTTGAACTCCACATTTAAAACCTGAACTCATCTGATTGGATTATAAATGAATTTTTATCCCTGTCATTTATTCTTTACTCAGATTGAGTTCCTGCAGTTTGTCAGAGATCAGCTGTGCTTCTCTGGCCTCAGCTCTGAAGTCCAACCCCTCCCATCTGAGAGAGCTGAAGCTAAACTTCAACAACCTGCAGGATTCAGATGTGAAGCCGTTGTGTAATCTTGTGGAGAGTCCACACTGCAGACTGGAGACTCTGAGGTCAGTAGATGGTTGGAGTCAGTCCATGCTGGTTTCAGCAGTATTGTTCTAAACACAGTTCGTATCAAAGCAATGATCCAGGATTTCCTGTAAACCTCCAACCTTCTCAGTGCCTGCTTACCTCAGTGAAGCTGTGAGAGGAGAACGGTGACAGGCTTCAGGATTGGACAGAAAGACAGCGGGAGAAAAATCAGCCAGAAGCTTATTGTGATCATGTGTTTGAGTTGATGTGAAGATGACTGTTTACAGGAAATAAAGCTGGATTCCAGCTGACAGCATCACAAGATGTATAGAGACAGTGGTCCTCATTCATCAAACTGTCATACCATCAAATCTGATCTCAAATTATTTTTTCTCTTGTTTCAACACTAAACTATTGATTAGTTCATCTTTGTCACAGCTCTGAGATCAGTCTGACTGAAGCCTGCAAATTGCTGGCTCTTATTTCAGAGAACCATCATTACATTTAGTAACCATGTGCCAGCAGAAAATATGTCTGTAACTCTATTCCAGCTATCGTACTGTGAAAAAGTTAGCGTAGGATAGCCTTAATTGATCCAAACTCCATTTAGAAAACAAACATTTTAGAAGTTGTTGTCCTGCTGTCTTGCTGACAGACCTGAGAAAGCCTAAATTCATATGTTTAACAAATCTGCATCATATTGTGGTTATTTCGGCATCAGTTTGATCCATTTATTGCTTTTTAATCACAGCAAAATGTTTTGGGTTCATACAGCTGTTAATGATGAGTTGTGTTGATTCACACTTGGCAGTTGTTTGATAAGTTGGTGAAACAATGTTAGCTATCTATGATTCTTATCCCTCTGTGATCGCCAAATAATAATGTTGTTCAGTGTCTTTATGTTTCAGATGAATGTTACCTAAGCTCAGGGGCGGATTGGCCACCTGGCAATTCTGGCATATGCCAGAGGGACAGACTATTTGTTTCAGGGTGGGCCAGTCAGATTGATATTAATATCAGTGTTTCCCATACATCAACTTTACTTGGGCGGCCGTTGAGGCACGTTAAGGGCTGCCCAATATATTTAAGCATTTTGCAGAGAAACACTAAGGGCCGCCCAATATATTTAAGCATTTTGAGAAACACTGAGAGAAATGATCATCCATTACCTTATAAGACTCAGAAGGTAGATATTTCACAAGCATGGACTAGGTAAAGCAGCAGTGAACACTTTGGTGCAGGTGCAACTGGGTATAATGTTGGTTTCGATTGGCTTCCTCATTAACAAGCCTCCTCCGCATACCCGCGTGTGAAAACAGTATCGCGGGTGAAAATCGCGAGTGCTGTGTCATTTCGGCCACTTCATAAAACAGCCCACTGCTGATGGAGAAAGTCAAGAGGGCCGACAATTACAGGGAGAGAGGAAAAGAAAGAAGTAGGGCAAGCCACTGTGTTTGCAGCAGAGGTGTATGTTCCGTGCTTGTGTGGAAATATTAGAAGTGAAGGCAAGGAAAGCAGAATTAAGTAGGTTATTGATTAATATTTTTATTCATGTGTATTCCAATGTTGAGAGCAGGGTGTGAGAAAACATTTTTCTGCAATGTTCTATAGGCTACTGTGTTCATGGATGTTGCTTGAATCGGTACAGCCAGAGAGCCCTGGTCGTCTTGTAGGCTAGTGCTGGGAGGAAGGATGCTACTGTAGGCCTAGCAGAGACAGGGAGTGTGGTAGAGGTAGGAAGAGTCACACAAACATGTTCGGGTTGTAAAAGTAGAGAAAGACAGTAACAGCAGACAAACAGAGCACAGACTCTACATACTCAGATGGACAGCCATTGTTTTAATTGCATGTGCAAATTTGTTGTGTGCTTTTAAAAAAGCTATTGAGCATTGTGTGCCAGTCACATACATGTTACAAATTTGTTGCCATTGGTTTCATTTACACTAGGGTCGCTGGGGACATGTCCCCATCACTTTTTGAAAGCAAAATTGGTTAAAATGTCCTGAAAAATAGCTTGTTAAATCACAAGTGAAAATGCTTTGTTTATTTGCACAATAAGAAAACATGCAATGTAATTTAAATATAGAAGAAACAAATGTGCATTGTCCAAGAAAATTACTTGAGCAACAAAAAAAGTTACTGATTTTACAGCATTATATTCCATTTTATTGTTATATTTTGAATTGTAACCTGAATTTTGTGCTGCCATTCATATAAATAAAGACATTTACTACATAAATTGATGTAGAAAATGTCTCCAGAATGCAGGAAATTAAGTGTTTAATTACAGTTACAGTAGGCCTACTGCTTATATTATTTCACCATCTGTAAACAAATGTAGCCTAAGTAGTGAATGTGTGTTCGTGGGGATACGTGGTAAGGTGGGCTGGTGTGGCTACAGTGCCAGGGCTGAATTTTTGTCCTGGTCCGCCCCTGCCTAAGCTGTACCCTTGTTTGGAGACCTAACGATATTAACAGGTCGTGCTGTCTATCTGCCCACCCCTCAAACATATATTCATACTCAGTTTGTGCATATATACATACTTAACCTCGCACACGTGGAAGTAGGTAGGGAGAGGGAGGAGCGAGTACTTTCAGAAAGGCTCTCTGTCTCGGCAGTCATGATGCATTCTGGGACTCTCAGCACTTTATTTCCACTGTGTACTTGAGTGACTGCATCTTTGATGCCCAAGGTCTCTGTAGGTCTCAGTGTGTTCACTCCAATACATTAACAGGAAGCTGGCTACGCTACACAGCCGCTCCACTTTTGGTCTGAACAGGACTGAAGTCCCTGCTGGTCTTTATACTGGATGTGCTGTATCACTGACTGACAGCTGATGAAGGGAGTCTCTGTAAACTCTGATTTATGACTTCTGCTGTCTGTCTTCTTATCTCAGACGGTGGCGATCTGTGTCAGAGTGTGAGTGATGAGAAAGGTGATGAGAGAGAATCAGCTGTGTCCTGATGATCCAGAGAGGTTGAAGCAGCAGCATCAGCTTGTGTGTGGAGAGGCTCTGACTGGGCCTTGTTACTGGGAGGTAGAGTGGAGAGGAGAGCTTCATCCAGCAGTGACTGACAGAGGAATCACAACAGTGCTGCAGTCTGAACTGCTCTGAGATCAGCTCCACTGTCAGACACAAAGTCAAGTCCACCATCATCCCTGTGTGTTCCTCTGGATGTGACAGAGTATCATCGGTGTATCTGAATTGCTCTGCTGCTGCTCTGTCCTCCTTCAGACTCCTCCACTCCTTCTGCTCCACACTCAGACACCTCTTCCATCTGGACCTGGAATTTATTTCATTCATTTTGAACCTAAAGTGCCTCTGCAGATTAGTTCTGTTTATGACAACATAACTGCAGATTAATTTAAATGGATTCTTCTGTTTTGCTTTTTGTTGCAGCTCCACATTGTGGACTGATGGACAATTGCAGTTAATTTCCACATATTTCTAACACATTTTGGAAGTTGATGTGAAAAAGCAGCATCCAGGCTGCATGCATAAAGTTCCCTCTCTGAAGGTCTGCTTATTACGACCAATACCAGACTTTTCTCGCAGTTTAACAGATACTTAAGTATCATTTTTATTAATGCATGATTATAATTTTATTTATTTTTTAAGTAGTCGAATTTACTAGTACATCAGTGTGTTATTGCAGAAAACTTCACTAAAAAACTACAAAGTCTGGTGATAATTACCTATGGGTTTCTCACTTTCACTATGAAAGATGTATTTCAATTTCATGTTGTCATTTAGATCCCTTGTTAATATAAAAATATTGTTGTTTTTAGTAACTAAAATATCTGGATTTTGGTGAAAAGCCATTGCTGTCTTAAACATCGCTCATACACTGAACACCAGAACATTTTAATAACTTGTTACATAATCTTTTACTTTTGACATGAACTGAATCTGCAAAAAATAATATAAAAGTACCAACTCTACTCCTGAAGGGTCACTCTGATAATTTCTTTTGCTTATTGAATAGTAGCACTATATCAGCCCAGTTCAAAGTAAGTTCAGTGAGCTGACTGGGGCATGCCACTGGGAGCAGCGGAGTGGAAACAAACGCTGCTATGGCTCAGGAGGAATGGAAGAAGAAAACAAAGGCAAAGCAAAACCTATTGGAAGGGAATGCAAAAGCAGTCCTCAAAAAATATCCTCAACATACAGAGCCCCTGAAGAGCCACACCAATATTTTGCGTTCCCTCGCATCTGGTTGATCAAAATGATAAGACAATATTTGATCTGTTAAATGGTTACCTGTCAGATTTATTGCATGACTCATTAAGCAGAGAAAAGCTGTTGATTTCATAAATTTCCACTTAATCAACTCTGTCACTGTACTGGTGAAGGGATCCATCAAATAGCTTGAGATACAAAAATACTGTAGTTTATTTTGAAAAAATGGATATGAAAAGTATTCAGTATCTTATTTTAAAATACATTTTGGTGTATATTTTCCCATCCTTTAACACGTTTTTATTGTTTTTTTGTGAACGGTGCCTTTGTTTTCTTTAAAAAAAAAAACTGTTAAGTGAAACACAACACAATCATGTTGGTGTAAATGTTTACTTCTTTACATTCATTGAAAGGAAATACATTACATTACAGTCAAGTGGAGATCAGATCACTGCTCAGTGTAGCCCTGATGAGTCAAACACTGCAAAAAATAATGACAAACTTGGCCTTTATATTTACAAATAATTCACATTATATCCAGGAAATTTCAAAGTGAATTTATCAACCTGCAAAAGTTTTTTTTAATCATAAATCTGATGTTTTTAACTAGTAGGTTTTGGTCTTAGATTTTTATATTCATAGCAGGAATTGAAGATAATTTAACTTCAAATATCTCAGGATAAAATCGGCCAAGTGTGTCACTTTTTTACTGTGTAATAATAATTATAACAATATACAATCTTCAAATAAGTTAAATTTAATAAAAACAATCTTTCCCTTCACTGTAGTCGAGGTTAAAGGTGATAATTTGGCATCCGGTAGTTTCTTCACAGCACAATACCTTTTCACTCTGGTAGAACAGTTTATAAAATGTTCATGCATGTGATCTGTTCATAGCATCTGGTAATTTGTGGCAACATGTGCAGTGCTTTTATTTTGAAATGCTTGTGCAAAGTTGGCCTAACTTGATGTGATTTTGTTGTTTACATGAAATAAAAAGATGACATTATTCTACCAAAGTGATTTTTTAATTTTACATTGTCCTTCCTTACTTTGATGACTGATGTGAAAATGTTTCCACCTCCACTGAATTTCTTTTAGATTTCAGGACATTAAAGTCAGTTAAAGACAAAGATTTGACAGAATTCAAAGTATTTTGATTCATAAGTTGTGGGAAATACTCGAGTAAGTAGATGAATGAGTAGTGATGAAGCCGCCATGAACTGAACAGTTACCTTAACCAAACTTGAGATTCACATTTTAGAGTCATAGCTCAGGAAACACTGAAGATAAATACTCTTTTGAACATTAAAGTCTGGGTTTCACCAACAAGGATTCTCTTCAATCATGACTTACAATGTCTTATAATTCTGTTTGCAACTGAAATTTAAACAAGATTAATGTGAAATGGTTCTTTAAAGCTGGATTGATTTTGTTTTTGGCCACTTGGGGGCAGCAGAAACATGTTGTAACCACAATTATCACCTCATTAAATTGTTAATGTGAACTTGTTAGCAGACAGTTGGTTATTTACACAAGTTTAGTATACACCTGGTTTAAATTATTAAACAGAGTTTTTCCACAAACAGTGCTATATTTAGGGCTCCAACTTTTACTTTTATTATGATTCATTTGGAAACATTATTTTTCTATGTTGGTGTTTGGTGCTCAGGTTGTAGCCCACAGCCCAACTGACTCCAAACATCCTGTTGTTCCAAAACTTAGAGCAAGTAAGACAAATAAACATGACATCTATTAATATTTATAGTGTAACCTGGAAAAAAAACTATTTTTTCTACATAAATAAGGCTCAGAATGTTCCATCAACACGGTTCTTGTGTTGCTCCAACACAAAATGACAAAACTTTGATCAAACTTAATGTTTGTTTAAATTAATCCTTGTTGGTGCAACCTTCTCTAAATGTTTATTAATTGAGGATATGAATGTATATTTAATCGTTGTTTTGTCTTACCATCTTCTTTGCTAACATGGCCTGACATCGTATCTGTAAGTTTCACCAAATCCTTTCATGTTTCATCACGTTTGATTCTCAGTTTTTATGTTTCAGATGTTTCGGTTCACAGAAACAGAGTCGCGTCACGGGTTAAATGTGATCACCGTGTTACATTCCTGCTTGTTTCTGACGACACACAAACACACACTTCAGAGCGTGTTGTTGTTGTTGTGGACATCAGGCTGGAGAGAGGCTCAGCTGGGAGGCATTAGACGGCTCAGAGACAGGACTGACTGTGTGTGTGTTTGTCCTGTTCAGGAAGTTCAGGTCAACAGGACACAAGTTTAAATTCATTTGCTTAATACACAGCTGGTGCAGTGTGTGTGTGATTTATATAGACAGAATATGTGTGTTTGTTTCAAAGTGGATTTTGTCTTTAAGAAGTGTGTTGAAAGTCTGTACATGTGTGTTGATGGATTTGCGTGTGTGTGCGCGCGCTCAGTCCAGGGCCAGTAGTGGCGTGCTGGTCTCTCTTTCAGTTTGTCGGAGAGTTCCTGGTTCCACCGCAGACTGAGACCTGAAACACAAACAGATACTGTCTGATAGTAGCAGCAGTCAAAGCAAATAGCAGTGGTGGAAGAAGTACTCAGGTCCTATACTCAAGTTAAAGTACTAATCTAACACTGTGAAAATACTCCACTACAAGTAAAAAAAATGTATGAAAGTGTGTCTGAGATTGCTTAAGCACTGTGCAGATCTTCAACCTGAGTCTATACATGGGGAGCGTCCCAGTTCTGTGGAAAACATCCAGTCTTGTACTGGTATTGAAAGTAGGGCGTCTGGACTAGCTAAACAACGACATCATACATCATGAATACCTGGAGCTGCTGCCTCTAAGCCAACTGAGACCACATGGATCACAAATTACCTGACATGAAAACCAGAGTTTGTCAGGTTGGGAAACTGTGTCTCTGGGACGGCGGTAAGCAGCACTGGGGCTCAACAGGATCCTGTTTTAGCTCCTTTTCTGTTGCACACAGCGGACAACTATAAAACTCAAGTACAACTCTGAATCCTGCCGCATCCAGAAATACTCGACAGTGATACGACGATAGTGATACTGTGGGGGAGTACAGGGACCTGATGAAGGTCTTAAGTGACTGAAGAGATAAAAACTTCCTCCTACTGAACACCTCTGAACAAGAGTTAAAGGGCCAAACCTAGTTGACATGTACTTAGTAAATGCTGTCATCTGTAGTCCCTTTTAATTCAAAGACAGACTCCCCCTCCATCTCTCTCTCTCCCCACATTTTCTCCTCACCTCTTCATCATCTCCTTGTCTCCTCCTCCTCCACAGTTCTCCCTGACGTGCAGGGCATCGTAGGTCAGCGTGTACTCTGTCTCGTCGTTGTAGTCGGGTCCCAGCAGCGTTCGGGCCCAGATGCCCATATCATACGGAGGCAGAGTCCCGCCAAACTCAGACGGCAAACACTCTGGCTGGATGAGCTGGTGGAGCGAGTTCAGGTTGTTCCCGTGGAGGAAGATCTGAGGGGAGGAAACAAGAATTAAGATGAAAAAGAGATGGTAGAGAAAAGAGGAGAGATTAGAGGAGATCAGAGAGAGAGGAAATGATGGAAGAGAAAAAGGAAGGGGAGAAGAGATGAGGACGAAAGAAAAGAGGATGTATGAAATGAAAAGGGAAGACATAAGGAGGAGAAGCCATAAAAAGAAAGGAGGAAGGTGTGTGTGTTTCACCCTTTTCCTGGTCTTGTCTTTGAGGAAAGGTTTGATGATGGTGTACATGGCGTGAATGTACCACGGCTGATTCACAAAATGGATTCCTCCAAACCGAGCGGGGAAACTGTCCTGAGGAGAGTAAACAAGGAAAAGAGATGGAAAGGATGCAAAGAGGGGAGAGGAAAGATTTAAAAGCATGTAATTAAAAATCTAATTTAATATTATAACAACATCATAGTAACTTTTTGTAAACAAGAAAATGGATATTTAAACTAATCAGTAAGTCCTTTTTTACACGGTTTGAGTTGCAAAGAGATGTTTTATTGCTTGATTCAAAAGTTATACAGGCTTCCTTGAGATCTGTTTGTGGTGGTTTTGTTTACCTGGAGGCCCTCGATCGCCAGTTTGAGGATGTTGGGCGTGAGCTTGGAGGCCTGTTTGAAGGAGAAGTTGCTCCAGTCGATGATGAGGATGAAACCGTTGATCTGGAGCGCCGGGTTCTCTATCAAAACCTCCAGAGAGAGCAGGATCGCCCGCAGGATGTCTGTGAAAGAGTTCCTGATCAAGGAGGAGGAGGAGGAGGACGTGATTAGGAAAACGTGTAATTGTTTATCAGCAGCTAATCAATAGTTAAAGAGAGTGTGACGGTTCTTCACGCTGTAAGTCTTAACTATGATCCAATTGTTCTTGTCTATTTTTAGTCTAAGTACAGAAATGACTCATTAGGCTCTTTGTGTTTTCAATCAATAGATTGATGTGTATTTTGTGTGTGTGTGTGTGTGTGTGTGTGTGTGTGAGTTCATTACCTGCTCTGGTCCCAGTTGGAGGCAAACAGGATAAGGATTTTTCGGCCATGTTGGTCTGGAGTCTCTAGTACACCCGGGAAACCATCCATCAGCGCCCGCTTAATACCCGGGTCATCCACCTGACACATAAACACACTTTTGAAACCAGAGCTTTAATCTGCAATGTCTTCTTCAAGCTGTAAGATCACAAAGAGGAACAGACCTTGAAGCTCTGGAACATGTCGAGGTTCTGCTGTCTGAACTGGAAGTACTGGGCCAGCAGTCTGAAGGTCTCCGCCTGGTTGAACTTCCTGGCTCTCAGGAAACGGAGGATGAAGTCATCGTCCGTCCGCAGGAAACCGATGTCTGGCCGCGTGACGATCATGTCCCGCACCTGGAATTAACACAGAGGGAAACATGGGAGTAAACAGGAGTGGAGGCGTCTGCAGTCAGCCTGTATAAGGGCCCCAAAGGCCCCCAGATTTACTGGTTGTCAGCTTTTGTGATTTAATTAATAGCACATTTGTTTGGAAATTTGCACCACTTATTACAAAATTTAAAGGTGGGGTATGCAATTCTGGAGAAATCCAATACCATGACAAAAACATAAATCTAGTTTTAAGTACTTTATTAATTTTGTTCACATTGTTCAGTTTTGTTTAATCAAATTACCACAAGCTAACACACATAAAGTATTACTGCAACATCTGAGAACTGCCTGCACTGACCTTAACAGGAACTTAATGGTGACGGGGTACATGCACATTGCACAAAGGGCAGGAGGTTGGGGTCAGTAGGGGCCCGATGACAGTTTAATTCAGTCACACTCAGCTCTATACTGTCAGACTTCAGGTCTATCAATATGGTGATATTCTATATTTTTCTTCTTGTCATTAAATCTCACAAAAAGACCAAAACCAACAGTGAACGTATCAACTAACTAGTACAGCCTGATGTCTCCTCTCCCTCTTATCCATAGAGCTCTATTGTTGTCCAGAAACTATTAAAACCACGGATTCATCCACTGCTGAAAATATTCCCCAACAAATGAACTATTTCCGCCTGTTTGTTTGATAAAAACTACAATGAGAAGCTATTTCAAACTATATATTTATAAGATTACATAAGATTTACGTCTTCAGTAGGAACCAGTGGGCTTGGAGCTGAGAGCCATATGCAGGGTAGGGCTTAAACTGAGATGAATACTACCATTAGCATGTTAACATTAGCCAAGAATGGTAGAATATGATGCTGTGTACCTGCTGGATGTCCTGATGCAGAGTGTCCGGGTTTTCATTCAGCTCTAGACGAGCCTTTTCTGTCGTCTCTGAGCTCAGGCCTGCGTGTAGATGCGTCATTGTGGAGTGTGGTTTGGTTCCTAACGTCCAAAATGTGTTTAATTCCAACTTCAGGACCTGAAGACGTATGTCCAGACAGTTTGGTTGTGTTGATTGTTTTGCGGTACAATCTTTTTGTGGCTCAGTTGTTAATGTGGTGGTTGACGAGGTGAGTAAATGGAGTCTTTGCCCTTTTATCTGTAACACAATCTTATTTGCTGTCTTTGATTTTAAACTCCATATAAATTAAAAAAACAGCGTGACTGAAACAGATTTGTCAGTAAGAGACAATCGTGGTCGTCTTTGATGGACTGATGTCCAACAGTAACAGCTGATCGTCAACAATCGTCTTTGCTGTCTTCCTCTACATTGTTGGTTCTTAGGAAGCTGAAGGTCTCTGCTTTTTGGTTTTTGATGCTGGATTGAAACGTTGAGTTTGTTACAGGTTTTCAGAGTGCAACAGTCTGCGTCATGGCACTGGTCCTGCTTTTTTGTCCTAATGCTTTTCCCATTCAGCGTCTCACAGCTCCCTCCTCCTCCTGCTCTCTGTCATCTTTCAGATCCTGGTTGCAGGTGGTATCAGGCGACGTCGACTCTTGGCGTCGTCATGATCAGGCTGTTGGGAGCTGGAGGCTTAACGATGATGATGAGTCCTGTTGGGGTCGTGACCCCTCGGGTGAGTCGTCAGAGAAAGGTCAAAGGTCAGTTAAGGCAGCTTGGTCTGATGTGTCCCTCCTCAGCCTGTAGGAGAGAGGAAAGATGAACAGGTACAGCACATGAGGTTGTCTTTAAAGAGGTCATTTCTGCTGCTGCTGTATTTTACAATTGTAAGCTGATCATATTAAGCAGTATTTTTATAAGTTGTTGTATTATATTGTATTCCTTTTTAAAAAAAAAAAAAAGAACATGAATATAACATAACAAACATCAAAATAGAGTTAAGTAACAGAACAAGAGTAGGTTTACTGCAGTGGTTCCACTACTTTTACTCCACGACATTTAAGATGAAAATGTTGCACTACATTTATCTGGCAGCTTTAGTTACTTCTGCAGATTCAGATTAATATAGAATAGAAAATATAGTCAATTCAACTGCAGTGAGCATTTTACAGAACATAAAAGTTACACGTTTCTGCCAGGACCTGCTACGCAACCTAACGTCACATGATCTGTTACGCAGTATGTAACATAACGTAACCTGTATTTCGTGTGCTGCTGTCTGCACACACCAGACGCTTCATCAATCACCAGATTAGAACTTTTTCTTCAAGAGCAAATTCATTTTTGAATTATTGGCCCCCATCAGCAGCACGGTCTGTCTGTCTCAACAACATATCTATAACAGTCATTGGTTATGAAATATATTTCACACATTAATGTTCCTCTCAGGATGAACTGTAGTAACTCTGTGTTGCTTTTATGTTTTATGTAAAGCACTGTGAATTGCCTTGCTGTTGAAATGTGAAAAACAAATAAACTTGCCTTGTCTTGCCTGTTATTTGTGTTCGTGAATGCATAATGTAGCTTATATATATATTATTTTATTATTAATACTATATAAGGCTATATATTCTCTTTTTCACTGTAGAGTTGCTTAGCCTATGCAGCTGATATTGTACTTTTTCTGCTGTTTATTTCAGTAGGATCAATAAAGGTTATCTTTATCTTTCTTTTATGGGCCAGGGGCCTCAGATGACCCCCCTGCCCACCCGCTTTACAACCCCGCCCCCAACCCGTACCCATCTGCCGTTTACATCGTCCAATCTGTGTGTCCTCTGAGACAGCATGCTGAAAACCCAGAAACACTTGAAGGTCCCACGGGGCTGTATTTTACATTTCCACCACTGAGATTAAACAAAGGCAAATAAAACCACCCGAGCTGCGTGAATGCTGCAATAATATAAGAAGGAAAATGTTTAAATGTAATGCAGAGTCTCTTGGATTCATCTAAATATTCAGATTCCTGTCAGTTTAATGGTAAAAGTGACCCTCATGATATGTAGGCAGTGTGTGCGTGTGTGTCCTCACCAAATGTCCTCAGAAGGAGGCAAATATTTAAGAGCATCCCCCACAAGTGAGCTCATTCAGCGGGGATGAACCCCACCTACATGCACTTTAGTGTATTTTAGTGTTATTTTAAATAGAAATAAGGTAGAAATGCTCACAGTGAAGCGACCTGCTAGGTATGCTGGTTGAATCCCGGCCGTCCTGGCTGGCCCGACGGCCCTCCGGTGGTGGTGCTGATGCTGGGGACGGTGGCGGTGGTGGCCATCGGTAGGTATCCCGCGGAAGAAAGAGATCTCAGTTAAAAAAAAATAAAAAAGAACGAGCAGGAGAAATGAAGATGAGCGTCCCTGAAGGCGGCAGAGATGATTAAAGCCTGTCCTTGTGGCTCCGTATGTGCTTTGTAAGGTGTGAGGAGGACAGCCCAGCATCAGATGCGTCTCCACTTTGTGCTCCGAGAAGACGTCAGGATGCTCCGACACCGTCAAGTTTTCTAAATAAACAGCGAGACTTCCGCTCAACACTTTCAAAAGAATATCACATTTTCAACAGCTTAGATTTTCTCAAAGATTCAACCTGGTGCTCAGGTTATCATAAAACCTCGAGAAATGCAAAATTTACATTGTTGTCAAAAGATTCGATGTTCAATTAGGTCCATCAGAACACAGTTTCATAATTATTTATAGGCTATTTTATTAATTTAGCGGAAAAGTAGGCTATCCAATAAGCAGAAAGAATAGAAAGAAAAAAAAAAAACAATATCTAGACAATGAAGAAACCACACACACACACACACACACACACACACACACACACACACACACACACAAGCATAGGCCTATAGCCTTTACATAAGCATCCACAACATTCAGTTCTTATTAAATATTTTTCTATTATTATTATATAAGTGTTTTTTGATGCTATTTATTATCTAATGTGTATTTTTCCTGGAGCTGCCGTAACAAGTGAATTTTCCCAGTTTGAGATCAACCAAGCCTTGTCTTAATAAAATAAGGAAAATACAGTATAAATCAGTTTGATTTCTTTTGAGAGTTGATTTTTAAACGGTCTGATTATTGTTTATCTTATAATGCACGCCAGGACATGATAGTTTACTCTGGCATACATCTAATTTGCCACTAGATCACTTAATAAAATACAATTCAGGGTTTGCTTTATTTTGTTTTATCAATTCAGTGTAGAGGTGACATTTCTGATTGTTCGTTTAGGCTTGAAAACATCAGAAAATAGTCACATTATTCCATATAACTCCCAGATGATGTCTTAAAAAGTCTTCTTGTGCAGACAGATCAAAACCAAATATGTTAATATAGCCTACTAGCCTAAAATAATATTTAAACTTACATGACATAAAATAAATAAAATTAAAGAAGCTGGATCCAAAGAATGTTTGGTATTTTTTCTTTATAATTTACTTTCATTTTAATTGTCAAAGTGGTTGATGATTCATTTTATTAATGTCAATGAATCATAAACTAATCATTACAGCACACAAAGAAACCTTTTGTTTTCATACCAAACTGTTTTTCAACTTCCAGTAAGGTCTTAGGTTCATGTTGTGTGGCCCAGAATACTCCAACCTCTTGTTTTCCATAATCACAAATTCCACTCTTTATTTTGGAGCCGCGCTATAACTGGTTTCCGGTCTTTCTCTTGTCTGACTTTACTCACCTGGACGCTCGTGCCTGTGTGACGGCAACTGACGGTCATGCGCGTTCTCGAGTTAACCTGGACAGATTGCAAGCTGTGCGCGCACACGCAGCGGCTCGTGCACGCACGCAGGTGCACGCATATGTGCGTCGGCTTGACACAAAATCAATCTATGTTAACAGACCTATTTATGACATTTAATTTTCTTGCATCACATTTGTTCTATATTACAAGGTCCTTTGTCCTTATTTCTACCCTCCTGTACTTCAAACAGCTTTCTAATATTGATATGTATGCATTATTATTTTTCCTCCGCTCTCCTTTATTTATCTTATGTCCTTATTTAAGTTTTTCCACTCAATAATCTAACCTGACTGCACTCAATTATTAAATTACTATTACTATTAACATTACTCTCCTGACAACAGCGATAATAAAACTCATAATACGAATACAGTCTATGTCTTTATAAATGCGGGGTTTTGTTTATAAATTGTAACATGTGTTGTGAGAAGAATCAAACAAACATTTTACCAATTAATTTCCTCTAACGATGTCTTACAACATTTTCAAATGTCATGTTCTAAACACTCTAACAAATATTTTTCCATCTGCCAGCTAACTGATGAATCGATATCTCGTTTCAGCTGCCATTAGTTAAATATTGACAATAAATATCAATAAATTAAAAGACCTCTTTATCACAGGGTGACGGCTTTTATTGTGAAGGCGTACTACAGCCTCCTCGGACAGTGACGTATTTCCTGTTGTGCCAAGGTTCACTCAGTTAGGAAACACCTCAGTGAAGCTTCTCTACCTCCTTTCAGCCGCCAGGTTATTTAAACAAACGTTTCTTATTGACTAAATTATCTTTTTTATATTCCCTGAAGTTTATACAACAGCTGTTTGTACGTGTCACGTCGCGGGAAGTTTGTTATTCGTCTCATTTTCGCGACATTTTGTAGCAGTCTGCCCTCGGAGCGTGCTAACGTTAGCTCAGCGGCTAACCACCATTCAGTCTTCACGAACAGAATCTAATCAATCGATAACCGTAATCATGGATCAAACAGGAGTCGCGGCAGAAACACCAAAGGTAAGACGCCGTTTTTACTGGATATCTTCTTCTTTTGTGTCGTGTACACGCTGTTTAAGCTACGTCAGCTAGCTGGCGGTGTTAGCTTGAGTTAAGCTAGTTGTTATCCAACTTGACAGTCTTCTCTCCTTAAAAGGCTGAAGTTGCAGACAGATATGTCAGCAGACGGCTGTGCCATGATGGGAGATACATGGAAATAAACCGAGAGGCTGTGTTAGTGGCGATGTCACGTCTATTGCTAGTTAGCCATTTTCTAAATAAAGACTGTGATCTGAGTGCTGTCGATCATTAAATTAACCTCCACACGTGACTTAAACGCTCTTATTACTGTATTAAAACTATGATGTGGTGAGAATGATTGTTCCCGGTCTTGTTAACGACTGTCAAACAACTTCAGTCTTCAGGGGTTTTAAGATTAAATGCTAACAAATGTCTCAGTTAGCTGCTAACAGTTAGCAGATATGCCCTTTTCTGGCCATGTTGTTGTGACTTCAATCTATTTAATATGTTGTCCATCATTCTGTTGTTTAGTGTGTCCATGGGCAAACTGTAATTTTATACAAATACATAGATATAAGTCTCTAAATCTTGTGGGCGTGATCCTAAGAGATTTGACAGGGCATGCCTGAACTTGTCTGTCTCACTTCTTCTTTTATAGTTTCTGTCCATTCATGACTCACTCTGGGGTTTAATTACATTGTGTGAGTGTCACTGTACAGATGACTAATAATGTCTAAAGGTGGTTTAGTATTTGCTTAAAGGCTATCTTTAGCTTCAGCTCATTTATCTTGTATTCATTCATCCATCTCAATGCTATGTCCTCTTGTCATGTGAACAATAGGTTTGCACAGTTTCTACAGTTTATTCTTTGTGTTATTATAGTGATTCATGGCGCTGTGTGACCTACCTGTTGGTAACTATGGTGAACTACATGCACAAACAGTTGCTAGTGAGTTTGGTAGGCGCAGCTAAAACCAATTGATCCTAATATAGATCAGAAATTAGTAATCAGCTAACCAGTATGTCAACATTTGTTTGATTGATTGATGTTTTTTTTGTTGTTTTTTTTATAAAATGCCAGCCGTTCTCTAGTTCAGTCTCTTTAAATGCTCTTTTGTCTCATGTTATATGAAACAGAGTTTATAGTGCAGGCTGGAGAAGATGTCTTTTTTTGGCTTTAGGAAGTTTTACAGACAACAAATCAAGGAAATATTTGCTTACAGTTTATAGTCAGAGTTTTTTATTTGACTGTTTGGTCTTTCCAGAGGCTGCAGTTTGTGTTGCTGTTGAGTTGTATTGTGTTAAAATGAGAGGTTATTTACTCTACCCTCATTGATAGATACATTAGAAATAGAACATAACTTGAATTAAAGAAGGATTTATTACCAGGCTGTTGTATTAGACCATGTTAATATTTCAGCTAGGTGTAGCTAATAAACTGGCAGCTGATCTCACCGTCATTCGCTGTCATGGTGTTAATCCAAGTGTGTAAAATGCAAAAACTATGGGCGAATTTGAGAATGACATTATGTTGCAGTGAACGTCATGGCCAGAGTTTAATGAAATTTAAATTATGTGAATGTGTTTTGCTAAGTGGGGTAATAATGTGCGTGTTGTTGTTTTTTTTCCAGAGCCCGTGGGGTTCGGTGGCCCTGGCGGCTCCGGCCTGCTCTCTGGCCGATGTGATGAGCGAGCAGCTGGCTAGACAGCTGGACGAGGAAAGCAACGCCTTCCCTACACTCACTGAGTAAGCTCTCACCTGTGTGTTTGTTTTATCCATCAGTGTGCTGTACAGTTTCAAGTTGCTCTTTAGTGATTAGTGTATTTTTGTCTTTGTTTTTTCTAAAGTACTATTAATTATTACAGGAGGACAAAAGAAAAAAGACACATAAATCATCATAAATGAACATAGAACCAATACCACCAGCTGAAAAAAAAAAAAAAAAAAAAAAATGTGTGTATATATATATATATATATATATATATATATATATATAATTTAGTCTCTTTGTTCTCTCTGCTTTATTAAAAAGAAAGTTAATTACCGAAATCCATTGAGACATCATGAAGGAGTCTATTTGACAGTTAAAAATCTGTTTTTCTGTTGTTTTACCGTCCTCTTCAGTCCCGCTGCAGATCTTTTGTTGTCAGATGACGTTTCTGATACGACCAGTGACCTGATGCTTGCTCAGATGCTGCAGATGCAGTTTGACCGCGAGTTTGATGATCAGCTCCGCCGGGAGGAGAAGAAGTTCAACGGAGACAGCAAAGGTAGCGCCACAACAGTCTGACGCGTGTAAATAAAAATGCCGTAGGTGCAGTTACTGACTGTGGCCCATTAAAATAAGAATAATAATGTCCTTAGTTCTTCTGAGCTGTTTAGGTCAGTAACAGTCTGCCTTTGGATCTTTGTGTCCAGTGTCCATCTCCTTTGAGAACTACCGTATGGTTCATCCGTATGAAGACAGCGACAGCTCAGAGGACGAGGTGGACTGGCAGGATACAAGACACGACCCATACAGAGCAGGTAACACACCTACAGGGAGTTAACAGAAACACCTGACAGTACCATACAGCCCTGGCTCAGTATGTTCAGTTTCCATTAAGAGACTTTTCCCTTCTCCAGATTAAATATTATTTTAGGTTGTGTGGTTGATGCTCCAACTTCTATGAATCATAGTTACAGCTGCACCAGTGAGTCATATTAAGTTTAACATTTCAGAAACAGAATGTTTCAGCTTCAGTAGATGTCTGATGGTCACCATTTATATTACAAGCATGGTGCAGAACTGCAGAACCATGTAAAGTGACAGAAGGAAGTCACAGAAAGAAGTCTCTAGAAACACGGGATATTTTTTAAAGGACCGCAACCGTGGTCATACGTAACTCCACAAACAGCAACCTCCAGAAATAAACTGAGTTAAATCAGCACTGATCGTCTCAACAAAAAAAAAAGTAGTAAAGGGCTATTGATTTTTAAAGTGTTCCTGTTATTTTGTCCACCTGCCTTTTCACCCCACAGTGCTGGAAACATATCTTTCTTGCATTGTATCATCTTTGCGTTGTTGATTTTGTTAAGAGGAAGAGAACAATCATGCTGCTGTAACTTGGTATATTAAATCTGTTGAGTTGTCTCCCTTTACGTCACTAAACATCTGGCGCCAACAGCGTAACCGCTAAGCCTAAGCTTAAAGCAGCTGAGGGCTACACAGAGGGTTAAAGTAGTTGACGCGCTGCGCTTACCGCGGCCGATTTGTTCGGTTTAGAAAGAATGCAACAAGAGTTCAACTTCTGCTTTCTCCTCTGTCATGAAAGAGATGATTTATTGTTGCACATACGGCCTTCAACATCCATCACGGTACAATATTCCATCTCCATCAACAGTTTCCTAATAAACACCAAGCAAATAGGCACACCTGCCGCATCTACGGCGGTTAAAAACTGGTTGGCTTTTCCCCTCTGGCAACACCTGTGTCAAGTTGCACCTGCCCTCCTAAGTGGATGAGCCCCAGTTAGTTATGCCAGCACCCTGGCACCACCTGCTGGCCAAATCTGGACATAAAACATTGAAATGGCTCCTACTAACAGACTCTTTGAACTTCTTCTGTCCTCGCAGTAATTATCACACAAACTCTAAAGCTGTGTGTGTGTCTGATCAATCAGATAAGCCCCAGACCACACCCAGGAAAGGCTTCACTGGGAAAGGCAAGAACATCACCACCAAACATGACGAGGTGACCTGCGGCCGCAAGAACACTGCGCGCATGGACAATGTAAGACAGCCTCACGCTCTTTAATACTCTCACTGTTTGTATTTATTAAAACATGCTAAAAGATCCGTCAGAAAGCCTAAAACACCTTTATTTTTATGTTTAAAGAACTGAAAGTGTTGAATTTCTTTACAATTTTGGTTTTTGGTTTCATGGAAGTGATACTTTGGTAACAAGACTTTCAGAGTTTGACGGCAAACAAACACCAGGTCGTATTTTGAAGCTGGATTTGTCCCCACCCGACCAGTCGGTTTGAAACTTACTGGCTGACTTATTGTCCCTCCCTCTAAAAGTTATCCATCAGTGTTACAACAAAACTAAAGACTTATCAGTTATGTTAAACTGTAAACATGTTTAATCGTTTATTAAATACATCCTGGATATAAAAAAAACTCAACTAAAATGTAACCACAGTTAATTAAGTTGTAAAGAAAAACGGATGTAGTGACCACAGTAACTTTCTGTGTACGCTGTGTACAGAGAAATTAAGTACATGTATGGCTTTGTCATTACACCCTCTCCTCCTCCGCCAGTTTGCTCCAGAGGTTCATGTCGGTGATGGGTTGGGGATGGACCTGAAGTTGTCCAATCAGGTGTATAACTCTCTGAAGCAGCACTGCTACAGCGAGCAGAGACGTAGCGCCAGGCTGCACGAGAAGAAGGAGCACTCCACTGCAGTACGTATATAAACATAAACAGCAGACACACACACGCTGCGCAAATAATGAATAATTATTATTAACTTGTTTCTCCTTCCTTCCTCCTCAGGAGCAAGCGGTCGACCCTCGTACTCGTCTGCTGATGTATAAAATGGTGAACGCCGGCGTGTTGGAGAAAATTAACGGCTGCATCAGCACAGGAAAAGAGTCTGTCGTCTTCCACGCTGATGGAGGGAGGTGGGTGGGGAAACAGAAATACTCATTTAGGGAAATGAGCTTGTTTCTGTCTTTACGCTGAGTCAGATGAGAAAATACCCGTAGCCAGACAAGACTGGAAATAAAAACAGTTCACAAAGGAAATGTACGCGAAATCTGTCTGATTTACTCAAATACTTTGTGTGTGTGTGTGTGTCAGCCTGGAGGAGCAGCCGGTTCCAGATGAGGTGGTGCTGAAGGTTTTCAAGACGACGCTCAACGAGTTCAAGAACAGGGACCGTTACATCAAAGACGACTATCGCTTCAAAGAACGCTTCAGCAAACTGAACCCACGGAAAGTCATCAGGCTTTGGGCCGAGAAGGAGATGCACAACCTGGCCAGGTAAACACATCCTTACTCGCACCGCTGCGCTCACGAAGGGCCGTCACATCCTGGTTCTCCTTTTTGTAGTCCAGAGATGTTTGTCTGAAAGACGGTGGCTGCTGTTCTCGGTTCTCAACAACATAAGTCGAGCAACTTCCAGACATCTGCTCTGTGGTGGCCACATGTTTAACTTCCCTTCTTGGTGTTTGAGTTCTGTAAGCAGCACGTTGTTTTTGTCTTCAGTAAGTGTAGACATACTTTAACAAATCGTGACCGGTTCTTTTAAATATCTTGTGGAGATTAGAGACCTGGTGGAGCCATAGTAAAATTTAAATTGTACTGCTGCACATTATGTCAACACAAGGCAGCAAAAAGAAGGTAAATGAGGTTGTAAGCAGTGAGGATGAGCGATGCAAACCACCAGCCATGTTCCTTATTCCAACACATATATCATCCTGTTAGTCCATCTTGTATAAAGAATTTCTTAATCTTAGCAAGAAAGTCACTTTTTCTATCTCATGATAGCTGTGCGTCAGTATCTAAACATTTACCAGCTGTTGTCGGTGCTGCAGTAAACAGGAGAAGGATAATCTCTGTAAACGAGTTAATACTCTTAGATTTTATTTGATTCTTATTATTTCAAGAACAAACGCACAGAACAGCTGCATCAATGCCAGGCACTATAACATTATATTTTATGGATCATAGACGCCACGTCCACAGAATTTACAAATTATTATTATCCACGACTGACGAAGCAGGCAGCAGAAAGAAGGTAAATGAGGTTTTAAGCAGTGGGGATTAACGGGCAAACCACCAGCCGTGTTCCTTATTCCAACACATATGTCATCCTGTTAGTTCATCCTTAATAAATAATTTGTCAATGTTAGCAAGAACGTCGCTTTTTCCATCTCATGAATCTTTGATGATTAGGTTAGACTGACTGTGTCTCCTGTAGGCTGTAGGTCAGCCACTAAACATTTGCCAGCTGTTTTTGCTGCTGCAGTAAAAATTGGCACGAGGCTTCTGTAAAAACAAACATTTTTCATTGTAGAAAAAGTATTAAAAGTAGTTTCACAGGTGTTTTCCTAATGTCCGCTGGTTATTTTGTCCATTAATCTTTTTTTTCCCAACTCTCATTCTCTAAATTAATACACACCGTATCCCTCGTGCTGCTATTGCCACACCGCTCACACTGCCTGTACTACTGCCTAGTTATTACTGGAGAGTACGAGCATATAAACCAAGAAATCTTTTTGTGTGTGTTCAGGATGAAGAAGGCAGAGATTCCCTGTCCAGAGGTTGTACTGTTGAAGAAACACATCCTGGTGTTGTCTTTCATTGGCAAAGACCATGTCCCTGCACCCAAACTCAAAGACGTCACGTTGGGCTCAGAGGACATGAAGAACGCTTTCTACCAGGTCCTACATGTACGTACCCTGGACAGAAAGTACTGCACTTTGTACTCTATGTAATAATTAATTTCATCATTGATTCATCTTTAGATTTTTTCTGTTGGTTTCCTAAATGTTAGAAACACAAATGTAATCAGTGTAAAGTTCTAAAAAGAACAGATCTGATTTTATGTCCGTAGTTAGTGATTATTTAACTAGTGGATTCAGTAGTGAACATATAAATAAACCTAATAGTATTTATCAGTGTTTTTAATACTTCAGTCTGGTTACACTCATTTCAAAAACAAAGTTACAAAGTGCTTTACACAGTTAAATCAGGATTAAAATATTTCAGGAGCCAAATAACAATTAAAATAACACAACATAAAATACCCAACAGTTAGTTAATTCAACCTCCGTAGGAACAAAAGCTGAATGTTACCGAGTGCATCTCTTCCAAACACACGGCTAAGTGTTCAGTGCAGGTGCTTCGGGGATGGTGATGGCGCAGTGGATAAGACGCGGGTTCAACTCCCAACTCTGACACGTCCCTGACCAATGTGTCCCTGAGCAAGACACTTAACCCCTGGTTGCTCCAGAGGCGTGAAACCTCTGACATATATAGCAATTGTAAGTCGCTTTGGATAAAAGCGTCAGCTAAATGAATAAATGTAATGCTTCGAGGTGTTTGTGATGCAGGTAAACTGTGATGTGTTTCTCTGTCCGTCTGTGTGCAGATGATGCAGCTGATGTATCAGGAGTGTAATCTGGTTCATGCTGATCTCAGTGAATACAACATGCTGTGGCACGAAGGGAAGGTACGACTTCATCTTTTTATTACCTGCTTTCTATTCATCTTCCTATCTTCTTTCATTAAACCTTTTTATTATAAGTTCCTAAAATCTTCCATCCTTCCTTTTTATCTGTCCTCCTTTTTGCTTGTTAAATGTTTTGCTCTTTTTGCTTCCTCTGTTCTGTCCTTTCCATCTTTCTCTCTCAACTTCCTCCTCTTCTTTTATTCCAACCTTTCCACTTGTTCCATATTTCCTGATCCTTTTCATAATTTGACTTCTTGTAGCCGTGTTCTTTTTCCCCCTTTCTCCTGCCTTCCCTCATTTCTTCCTCGATTTTCATTATGTCCCTTTTGTTTCTGTTCTTTCTCCCTCTTCTGTCCTCTCTTTCCTCCCACACTTTAGTTCCTATGTTTCTTTCTTTTCTTTTCTCTTCCTGCCTCCGTACCGCTGATATGAGTCACCCTCCACAGTGCTGCTCTAATGCCTGGTATGTGTTGCAGGTGTGGCTGATAGATGTCAGTCAGTCCGTCGAGCCCACCCATCCTCACGGCCTGGAGTTCCTCTTCAGAGACTGCAGGAACGTTGCCACGGTAATGGCCAGTTTCACCTACACATGCAGCTCTCGTTAAAGTGACTCACGTGCAGATCTGTGATCCGAAGTCCAGTTCAAGTGAAGATCAGACTTGAAATCTGCAGGATTCTGAAAACATGTTGATTGATGAGTCGTATTAGCAACAGCTTTCAATGCTGGAGGTGATGTTCAGATAGTATATTGATAGGGAATTCAAATGGAGCTACAAAAGTCAAAATTTTTTTTTTTTTGTTAATTCAAGTTAAGATTTAGCACAAATGATGGCCTTATTTTTATATTGATTGTAAATTTATCCTCCTAATAAAAAAGGAAAATTATGAATTCATTATTTGTTAATTCACAATCAGGATCTGATCCCTTGATAAAGTTACAAAATGTTCCGATTGAATTAATTAAAAATGGAAAGGAATGTAAGTAACTGTAACTGCCAGGATATGTTTTATTTTACAAATATAATATTAAGAATAATAATATTTAACTAGAGGAGTTTATATTTCCAAGGTAAAATTGTTTTGCGGATATCTGCTATATCAGATGCTTTGAATTTATATAACCAGTTCTTAAGTTTTAAGGTACTTTCCGGTGAGTTATCATGTTAGAAACCCAGCATCAACTTTGGTCTGTGTGTGTGTGCAGTTCTTCCAGAAGAGAGGCGTGAGCGAGGCGATGAGTGTGTATGAGCTTTTCAACGCTGTGACCGGCCTGAACATCCCTATTGGTGAAGAGGAAGAGGCCGAGTTCATTTCTGAGGTAACAAACACAAAACTGAAAGAAAAACTTGATCAGTGTTAGTTTTAAGTTAAAGGGTGACGTCGGTATTTTGGAACCTGGACCTATTTTTTTCTGTCCGTGTGACTAATTAAAACTCGTGCGTTAATGAGCGAGCGCGCTGCAGTCAGCAGCAGTGAAACAGGGCTGAAGCACAATCCTTGCGGGCTATAGCGCCCTGTCACAGTAAATCCACTATAGTGCTTGTTTTTGCCACTGAGATGGGGCTGAACGATTTGGGAAAAAATCTAATTGTTTTTTTTTTTCTGCCAGATATTGCGTTGACTATTTGATTTGCCTTTTTTAAAACTGAGGTTTTGCTAAATTTAAATATTCACTGTCGGTCTATTTGGAAGCCGGGTCAAGCAGAACAGAGCAGATGAACCAGCCTGCCTGGTCAGACACAGAACGGCATAGAGAATCTGGCCGATTTTCAAAATAAAACACCTTTTGCAGACTCGTGATCGTACATAAACATAGACAAAAGTCTACTTAACCATAGTAGAGGCACAAAAGTCAAGGACAACTGAACAAGTCAGCAAAACGGATCAGATGTTTAATTAACCTACATTTTAATTGCCGTCTTCACAATTAGCTACTTGTGTTCTTTCAAATCGCACTTTTGATTTGAAAATGATTAATTGTTCGGCCCTAGAGGGAGAGGCTCAGATTATTACTGTTATGTGTCTGGCAACATTATGAAAATGATCCCTACAGAGAGACGCCTCTATTGAAAGAGTAAGATCCTTTTTGTTTAACCAGAAACAGTCACTATGGCGCTCTCTCAAATTATTTTACAGATTTTGGTTCATTTAGTTTGTGTTTTTGTGTGACTTTGTTGTTTTCAAGGTTTAAAAACACAAAAGACAAAAAAACTATGGAGGCATAGGTAGAGAGGTAAAATTACTGTTTTTGTCAAGGGAGTCTGGTGACCAACAGTCACAGTCAACACAAGCACGGCTGCTTTAGCAATTACTTTACAGGTTAAGTACAAATCAAACACTTCCCTCTCAATTCAAGTTCAGCTTCAAACAAAGTATATTTAGTTTCCATCTTTGTTAAAAGCCAGTTTTAATCTATTTCTTATTGTCAACAAATTCCACAAACAGACCAAACACTAAGGGAACTTAATCTTTTGATACACAGAGTACTTGAATTTTAATTCAGACATGGCTGCATATTATTCCTGATGCTCTCGGAGTGTCTTGTCCTTATTCTTTTTTATTTATTTCCCAATAAGCCTTACGATGTTTAAACGCATCCTTTCCTCTGCAGCAGCAAAGAGCCGCTGGATAGTTGGTGTTCACAGTTCCTTCAGGAAGAGCTTTGATTTATTTAGAGAGAACTACTTGTTGAACAAATCTGTGCTCTCTGACAGATTGTGGCGTTGGAGAAGAGGAACGAGGATCACGTGCAGAAGAGAGGAAAGAAAACCTTCCCTGTCTCCTCTGAAGACGGCGATCCTCCTTTAAAACCCGACGCTGATGACTAACGCTCGCCCGGCTCGCTCTCTCTTCACGATCCTGCCGTGTTGAAAATGTTAAAAGGAGGAGATGAGGGGAGGAGGCCACCTGGAGGACCCGGTGCCTCCCCCTCCAACCCTGCCACCATCCCACTGACCCACTGATTCACCCACCCACCGCTTCCTTAAAACAGGCAGGATGGAGCGCCCCCTCCTGGCTGCTGGAGGAATGAGTTTCACCGTGTTGGATGTTGAAGTCGGAGCGTCCGGAGCTGCTGAGCTGCTCCAGCAGGGTTTTCTGAAGCTGAGACCACATCTCATATCCTCCTGCTAATACTGGCCCACGCTGACGCTGAGTCCAGTGTGTGTTTTTTGTAAGAATCGTAGTAACAATGGACCTCTTCTGTCCTCTTAGAGGTTTATTTTAAATTCTGTTTCAGGCTGAATTTCAGGGAAATCAAGGTGCAGTGATGCAGATGACAGAAAGATAACGGATGTTTAAAGGGGTTAAGCTAAGCGAACATGGTTTTTGTTTTATTACAAATTTCACAGAACCACCAAATGCATATCAGCAGTAAATACAATCCAGGTGCTGCTTTTTAAAGCCAAAGCTTTTATTAATCTGATGTATTGGTGCATCTCTGCTGGACTCTGTTTATCCTATCAACGCTGCGTCACATGAAAGATGGTGGAAAATGAAAACACTATCTAACTCTCACTTTATCATTCTCTGTCTCTTTATCCCATTCTCATTTTATTTCACCCCCTCTCTCATATTGTCTCTTGGTTTGGTATTCTCTAAAGTTTCTTGATTTTGATGTCAATACAACAGTTGAGTTTCTGTAACACTGCTCCTTATTGACAAAAGCCCTTTAAACCATGTTAGCGTTTTGTCTTCATGTTGACTAAAAGCGCCATCGTCAGGTCAACATTTTATCTGCAAATGACGCACCCATCAGCCCTGTACTTCGTATTTAGTGCTAATAGCAAATACTGAATCTGACCAGTTAACTGATGCCAACTTTAAATACTCAGCCCAAACTGTCTGATTCACCATCTGTTGTTTTCTCATTTTATATATAACTCTTTGACGTCTCATCTTTTCCTTCACTCTTTTATTTTTGTCAAAGGAAACCATATCTATATGTGTCAATAAGATTTACAGTGAAAAGTAGAAGATGCACCCAAAGGAAAACATGTTGGGAAAACACACCGTAATACTGTTTCTGTTGTTTTTGGTCTCTTTGTTTGTAGCTCTGTCTGATTTATGGCGGTTCAGGTGTAAAAAGTGGGAGGGGACTGTTTGTGGAAGCTGAAGCAGGGGGTAATTAAATGTTTGGTAACACTTTAAAATTGAAATAGAAGCAGGATAAGAAACCTTAAATGAAGTGATGTTTGCAGTGGAAAAAAATCATACAAGTAGCTCTTAATGTAAAAACCTGGTGTGGGAAACGTTGGTCTCTTACTGCAGATTGTGTGTTTTTGATTTTAATAAATCCAAGGGGAATGTTTCTCTCAGAGCAGCCTCTTGACATGATGTTGGTTTTATTGTGGATTTATTCTAATGACTTGCCTCATTGTGCAGCTCTCTGTGAAACTGTCTGCAGACCAGTGGTGACATTAAAACATCAAGTGTCATTAAAAGATGAAGATGAAAACTGTAATCAATAATGTGTTGATTATCCATTAAATGGTCAAAGGTTTTTGTTTTATTTAGCACAAAGTTACTCAAACTGTAAAATCATTCCAGCAGACTGTCACGAGACCCCCAGCAGCACAAACAGAAGGACTTCCGACCTGACTCCTTCAGAATAAAGGAGTAATCGCCACAAATCTGAACTGGCACACTTACTTTAAAATTGAAATTCTGCACTAAATATGAAAATTAATAGCAACACATTGATGTAATTGTGTTCATATGAAAGTGCTTCAGTAATTTGAGTCTGTATTTATGTGCCAAAAAACAAAAACAACGGGATTTAAAAACTGAAATGAGTTTAGAAAAAACATCTCCCCAAAATGTTGCCATTCAATCAGTGAACAATTAAAAACAGCCAGAGAAAAAGTTAGTATGTTGCATGGAAACAAAAGACCTAACAAAAAAAACAAGTCGTAACACAGCATGTTTCAAAACACATCATGATTTAAATGACTCAAGAAAGGTAACCCGGAAAAGAAAACATAATAAAGAGAAATTACTAAATCGATCAATTAAGACAGTTAAATAGAGCAAAAAAAAAAAAAGAAATAACTCATGAGAGTTTCAGTAAAAGTTCAATTATTAATATTAATCGATAAAATGTATTTTGATTTTAGATGTATCTGCATTTGAATGTATATTATTTTCTTTCGAATAGTAATTTTAAAAAGTTGAAGTTGTTATGATATAACATATAAATGTAGTATTATACAGTAGCATACCACAGTAAAATAAATAGCATGTTCCCGTGTTTATTTCATGTTTTAAGCCTGCTGTTGTTCTGTGATTTCTTTTAGTGTGTATTAAAATTACAGTAAACACCAACGACTTCAGGATTTAAGATTTACATTAGAGTCTCTGCTTTTATTGTGAAGATTCAATCCGGAAGCGTGATGGCCGCCGGTTGAACGGAAGTCTTCCTGTTCTCCCACTGTGGTTGTTGTCCGGACTCTGAACTGAGGATAAAACAATAACAAAGAGCCAGAGTTGAGTGTGAGGATGAGTGAGGAACATTACCTGGAGCTCTGTGAGAACCCGGTGCAGTTTGAACATGCCTCCAGCGTCAACAACGTCTTCTTCGACGAGGCGAACAAGCAGGTGAGCTAGTTAGCATTGATGCGGCTAACCCAACTTAGCTTAGGTCAGCTAACTGACAGTTTGTAGTTTTAATAGATAAAATAATATTTAAACATCAGCGAGTCAACAACACTTTGAATCACAGCAGGTTCAGTTGACTGTCTGTGCAGTTTGGTTCAGGTTGACGTGATATTGTGTTATTTAAATAAACGATAGATAAGTGAAGTTAGTAGCTTGGTTAAAAACAAACAGCTGATCAAGATGTTTGTCTCATTAAAATGTTGTAAATAATAAAAAAATTAATGTACTAAACAGTTGGTTTAGCCGCCATTGTGCTAGTTGTGTGGCTCTCCTTTGAAACAGCTGGTGTTGTGATCAGTGACAGAGGAAATATTCAGCTCTTTTATATAAGTAACAACAATTTATTAGTAAAATTTATGCACTTCAGGTCATATAAATGTACAAAAATATCAGAAGTACAAATACTCATAATACAGAGTGACTCCCTTCAGCTACATTATTAGACATAATTTAGTTATTGTTCATTAATCAAAGACTTGCATTAGTTATTGATCCGCAGCAGGATAAGAGGGATTGTTTCTAATTCAGTTTTCAAGGAACAATTGCAGAGGCCCGTACGTGATCACAATTTACATTGAAGATACATTTATCATAATAAACAAAACACACGCAGCATTACTGATCGAGATGAGTACATTGACAGACATACAATCCAAAGGTAGTTCTTTTAATGAATAGGTGTATTGTAGTGGGTTTATAGTAAAGACACGATGCAGCCCTCTGCTCAGCAGATGGATGAGGTAGCAGTCTAGTGTCAAAACAATTTATAGGTCCCTAAGTCAGTGAGTGTGTGGACGCCTCAGCTGGTATCTGATATCTTTTATGTCCTGCTTCTGTTCTGGCTGCAGGTGTTCGCCGTGCGTTCAGGTGGAGCCACAGGTGTGGTGGTCAAAGGCCCGGAAGACAAGAGCAGTGTTGCCTTCAGGTACCTAACCCTGTGATTTAGGGATTAAGTCTGTGTTGCATCTAAGGCCCTTGGACCCTTGAGAGACACAATTTATTTATTAATTTATTCACTTTTCACATGTCTTGCCTCATCTGCATCAGATGTATGAAATGTGATATATATTGATTGTGTAATGTGTGAGTTTCCCTTTGCAGAATGGACGACAAAGGAGAAGTGAAGTGCATCAAGTTCTCCATTGGAAATAAAATCTTGGCAGTTCAGAGAACTTCAAAATCTGTGGTGAGTTTGGCTGCACAGAACAAGACACGTAATACTTTCTAGTGAGATGTTTAATTCCTTCTCCGGCCACAAACTAAACTTTTGTGTGCAGTAATGTAACTTATGTAGAAGGAAAAACCTCCATGTGTGTTTTTATTTTATTTATTTATTTGTTTTTACAGTTGCTCAGCTAAGTATGAAAAAGGAAAATTCCTCAGTTTGATTTATTCTTAAAAAACACATGACAAGACCGGTTAGCATCTATGGTGCTGCAGTCTGTAGGGCTGTTGTTCATTATGAAGCAAAAAAATGCAGGATGCCTGGTTTCATGATCACCTGTGCAGCCCTGTACTAATTATTGATTTGTTTGTAGGATTTCATCAACTTCATACCCGACTATCCACACACAGAGTTCACCCAGGAATGCAAGGTATGCTACGTTATCATCTTTGTGTTGATTTCAAAAGTCCTTTGCTGAAGTTGATTGAGCTGTGAGGAGGAATCAGGAGTTTAAGAGTAATACAACTGAGTGCAGAGCAGCTCTGTGATGGAGCTCCGGTGCCGTGTTGTTTAAATAAACTGCATTTGTGTTGTTTGTCTTTTCCTGCAGACGAAGAACGCTAATGTTTTGGGTTTCTGTTGGACCAACTGGAATGAGATCGTCTTCGTCACTGACCAGGGAATAGAGTTCTACCAGGTAATCCCAAACCAGAGACATTTGGATCTAACGAAGATCGCTTTTGAACCAATAATACGTGAGGATCAGGGTGTGGGTTGCGTTCTGACATACAGATTTTAGAGCTTAGTTTGCCGGACATAGACCTTTTCACAAGGACAGGCCATAGTTAACAAAGTGCGTGTTTAATTTGTTAGTGTTCTCACAAGCTTAGGGACTGGTTATCGTTTGAAATGTTTCAATTCTTGTGCCGATTCAGTTCCTAAATTCTGATACAGATAAAGTACATTACTGCAGCCGGGACCATGTGGCGCACGGCACACCCTTCTCTTTCCCATTTTTCCTGTCTGTCTCCATACTGACTCTCAAATAAAGGCAAAACGCCAAACAAGTTAATAAAAAATACAGCTACTAAAATGCTTTCTTCCATACGCCACGAGATATAAACGTGTTTTTCAGAGGAATTCAAAGTTATTTAAATGTTGCCTAAACAAGCAGCTATAGTAGGAGGACTTCACCTAAAGACTCAGGAATTATCTGATCAAACAATAAGTGAATCTGGTTTTTGGATTTGAATGCTCGCTGCCACAGGCAGTATTATGGTTTGAAACCAACCCTGGGCAAGCTGAGTCTGAGATGTCCTTAAAGGGCCGTCATACAGAGGAGAAACCCTTCTGATGTAGTAACAATATTTTTACTTCTAGGACAAAGACTGTTTCTGCCTCACTGTTCGAAGATCTGAGGCCCACGACTGGTTGTTTCTGGTCGGTTCTGAACATCACAGGGTTGGTAATGTGTTCACTGAGTCTCGTGTCTGACGTCTCCTCAGGTGTTTCCAGACAAGCGCAGTCTGAAGCTGCTGAAGAGTCAGAGCATTAATGTGAACTGGTACCAGTACTGTCCAGAGACGGCCGTCATCCTGCTGTCCACCACTGTGCAGGGAAACATCCTGCAGCCCTTCGCCTTCAGGGTGAGCACACAACACAGTTCATGTGACTTTATTCCATTTCCGGTTTTGTCTTGTGTTTTTGATGCTGTGAGGTTTGATATTCTACACACACAAACACACACTTAGGATACTGATCAAGGTTTTCTTAATGTTAGAATCTACAGAGTCAGGCAAAGATGATTTGATCCAACAAAGAAAAAACTAATCTGACCATGAAGATGCTCAGCTGATGGTTTTTATGTGAGAATGATATCAGCAGTGTTGGAGCTCAGGTGGTTAAAGTACTCACTAGTGTTACTCTGCATATTAAGTGTTAACTGAGCCCAAAGTCTCTGCAGACTGTTGGTGGGTGAGAACCTGTTTTATATTTTAAATAACAGATTCCTGTGCTGTTTTTATAAAGTGTTTATTTTGTTTTGATTGTTTTTCAGAATGGGACCATGTCCAAGATGTACAAGTTTGAAATCGAGCTGCCGGTCGTCCCCAAACCTGCAAAACTCACTCTGTCGGAGAGAGACATCGCCATGGCACCCATGTGAGCTGTTTTCATAGCGACTCACCTTTCAGTATATTTTTCGATTTCTATATTTTAAATCCTTTTATTGATTGTTTTCTTTTTCTGTGCAGCTTGTAGCTTTTCTCTGGTTTCAAGTTTCTTTCTGATGATCTTTCCCCTGTAGTGTTGCTCTTTTGTTTCTCTCTTTCTTTAATTATCACCAAACAGTCCACATACTGAAGCCGTGTCTCTCCCTGTAGTTATGGTCAGCTGTTTGTGATGTATCTGAAGCATCACTCGAGAACAGCCAACAGTCCCAGTGCAGAAGTGGTGCTGTATCACTTACCAAGGTAAAGGACTTTAAACTCGTCTCAACCATTGAGATACGAAGTGAAAACAAAACAAAAACACTGGTGATCAAGAGATTCTTAGTTTTTAAGTTTGGTTCCTGGGACGACTTCGTCAACAAGCAGAGAGAAATCAGATGATTCTGAAATGGAAGCAGCCTCATCAACAACTGTAACAAATGAGTTTGTCTTATTTTGTGTGTATGTGTGTTCAGGGAGGCTGCCAGTAAGAAGACTCACGTGTTAAAGCTGAACACGACGGGGAAGTTTGCTCTGAACATCGTGGACAACCTGGTGGTGGTTCATCACCAGAGCTCCCAGGTTTGTATTCATGTGCATCTTGTCACGTACTGTACTTGGGTACTGTTTTGAGATGTGTGTATTTATATTTCATGCTGCTTTATATTTCTACTTCACTACATTTCAGAGGGATGTCTTGTACTTTTTACTCCACTACATTTGACCGACAGCTGGAGATACTTTATATTATTTATATTTTATATATTAAATTTTAATATAAAATACAGTACATGTATATATAATACATTATTTAAACTTTTGATACTTCTTAAAACTTCTATGTGTAATGGAATATTTTGCTACTTTTATGTAAGTAAAACTTCCATGTTTTATAATGTGTGTGTGTGTGTGTGTGTGCGCGCGTGTGTGTGTCTCTCAGACGTCGCTGATCTTCGACATCAAGCTGAAGGATCCAGACTCTGCTGTCAACACACACCAGCCTGTCCTACCTGCCCGGTCCATACACCCCTACAGGATACCACTGTCAGGTACACAAACACATGCTCACACCTACACACACAGACACAAAGTCAGGTTATTTCTAGTGTTTCTGAGAGTGTTTATTGTTCCTTTTTCAGGTCCAGCCGTTGTTCCCTCCCAGCCTCCAGTACCATGTCAGCTCTGTATCCTTTCACCTTTAATACATATTTTACTGTCGGCTCTAAAAAAACGTCTCTTTTAGCCGTTTTTGAACATTTCTCACGCTGACCTTTAACCGTCACTCCAGACTCTTCCTCCTGGAGCGTCTTCCAGCCTGACATCATCATCAGCGCCAGTGAAGGTGTGTAAAAACACACGCTCACACCTAACCTTGTGATCCAGTGAAGGGGGCTTTAACAGCTCTCATAATCTTTCATTTGGATCTTTCTCTTCAACTTGTGTCTTTCACCTAAAGGCAAACAGAATGAGCAGATTTGTGACAAAGCAGCAGACCATCAAAGTGTTAAAGATGTTTGTCTCTTTTTCTTTCTACAGACAAATGTTGCTTTCCTCCACGAGACATGTATTTATTTCATCCACAGTGTTTGGATTAATGGGGGGTTATCCATGTGTTTTGTTAGTTTATTAGATAATAATGGCAGAAAAAAAAAATCTAGTGTTATAGGACTTATTCTTTTTACAAAGATCAAGAGATATTATTATTATCATTTTTATAATTAACTGTGTCTCTGTCTGTGTGTCAGGTTACCTGTGGTACCTGCAGGTGAAGCTGCCTCCAACTGTCAACCTGCTGCAGGACAAAGGCAAATTGATGGACTTCCTGTTACGACGGAGAGACTGCAAGATGGTCATCCTGTCTGTCTGCTCACAGAGTATGTCCGATTGCATGTTTGTGATGTCATTTACACACTGACATGCCCAAAGTGTCTCTAAAATTAATTATACTATCAAACCACCAAAAAGATTTTGAACATTTTAATGTCATTAAATTGACAGATAGCACATTTGATTTTATTATTTGTTAGTAGTTTGAATCCATCTGTGTAACGCTGACAAAAAAAATGTGTTACATGACCTAAATGTGTAGAAACTTGGTTTCAGGTGATCTAATGGAGTCTTCCTACAAAATTAAAGGACAGAAGAAATGACAGAAACCTGATCTGAGAACAGCCTGAAACAAAACAAAGTGAACATTGAAAAGTAAAAACAAACATTGGTGCTCCCACACTAAAAGCTCAATGTTGTGTGTGTCTCTCAGTTCTGGAGGGCGGGGAGAAGGGGAGTCTTCCTGTTGTGGCGACGGTCTTCGACAAACTCAACCAGGTGTATAAAGAATACCTGGAGGCAGAGCAGACCTACACTGTGGTGAGTGACGTCCTCTCTGAACACCACAAATCTGGACTCAGGATTTTTACTTCTACTCATGTATTTGTACGTGAAATATTTCTGTGTTTGAGATGTTTGTGTTTTCTGTGTTTGCAGGCGATGGAATCCGGTCCGAGTCGAGGCAGCGCGGCCCAGAAGCGTCCAGTCAGAACTCAGGCAGTCATCGACCAATCAGACATGTACACACACGTCCTATCATCGTTCACAGAGAGGAAGGTACACACACACACACACACACGCACTCAGAAACTCAATTTGTGAAGCTCAAAGGCTGGAAGACGATACGTAATGTCTATGAAGATTCTCAGTCATCCAGGTCATAGATATCCAACAAAGGTTAAAATCAAGGGCAACTGGACTTGGTTGAAGATACTGGAAGACGTTTCGTCCCTCATCCAAAGGACTTCTTCAGTTGTGACTGACTGGCAGGGAAACTCAGCTATTTAACCTCAGTGGGGTCGTTGGCCCGGGTCATCGATACCGCTGGTTCGTTAGTGCTCCTTGTTGCTGTGACGACAGTCGTTACAGTCGTTAAGACTACCTGTGGCCAAGACTGAACGACCATCGTTGGTATCTTCACCTGAGGCCAATAGGTTACGTTTGTTGAGTTTCCTGGGAAGTGATGAAAGGACAGCATTGTAAGTGGGGGATAAGTGGTGGCGTAGACCCCCTCCCCTGTTCAATGAAGGCTTCTCGACCCTGTTGTAGATGCTTCCTTGACACCTCTTTCAAACCATGGATGTTGAAATGACAGCTTTGTTTTTTAACGTGAACGGGGAAAACTGAGCTTTTATGAAAAGCTGACGTATGCTTTCTTAGATCAGTCAGAAGCCATGTGGTTCAATGCAGAAGTACTTTGAGGCTGTCAGAATACTACAGATCCATAGTGTGGACTTACAGGTGCTGGTCATATAATTAGAATAATATATAATATAATTATATAATTTTCTGAGATACTGAATTTGGGGTTTTCATTAGTTGTCAGTTTTAAACATCACAATTAAATAAAATAAACATTTGAAATATGTCAGTCTGTGTGTAGTGAATGAATATAATATTCAAGTTTCACTTTTTGAATGGACAAGCACCTGTACTTATTTTTTGTATGGAAACTTTAAATGTTGCTGACGACAAAGTTCAGTATAATCTTGATATTTCTAAACAAATTTGAATGAAAAATTCTGTATTTATCAAGTTGAATAATGTATTAGCTTTCAGGTTTTGATTCGGATGCAAACAATTAAACCTACTGAAGAAAATGTTAGACAAAAAAAGGAAACAATTATATTAATAAAGAACATTTAGGAAGATAAATCCAGGTGACAGTTTAAACAAGTCTGCCTTTTTTTAAATTATAATCTGTGTGTTCTGCAGGGTGTCTCCCATAAATTCATCATTGCGGTGCTGATGGAGTACATCCGCTCTCTCAACCAGTTCCAGATCACCGTACAGGTAAAGCCGAGCATCGAGACACCTCATTGTTCACACTGATATTTTCTTCTGATCTTGTTGATTTTATTGACCTCGTGACCTTTTTCTCTGCTGCCAGCCTCAGGTCAAACGTTTTCTGATTGTGTTGTTTGTGTCTTTCAGCATTACTTGTATGAGTTGGTGATCAAGACGTTGGTGCAACACAACCTCTTCTACATGCTGCACCAGTTCCTGCAGTATCACGTCCTCAGCGACTCCAAACCGCTGGTGAGTTCACACCCTAAACTGATCTGAAACTGGTTCTAAACCAGTTTAATCTAAATTCTGAACTCAGATTTAAACCAGTTCTGTGCCTGTTTGTACTGAAACTTAGTCAACAATATGTCCGTATGTCCTAGTTTGAAGCCAGCCCTCTGTAACTGTTCATATACAGTAATATAAAATTAACCTTTTAATTTGTGAATGATATTTTAGTTCTTATATAATCACAAGACGACATAAATAAAATGAACATAATCAGATGTCCTCTTTCACGGCCATTACCTTACAGGGGACATTTGTTGAACAATTTAAATGTACTCTTCAGTCTGACTGTCAGTCAGTTTGTGTTAACTTCCTTTTTAATTCTGTTTCTTTGTGTTCAGGCCTGTTTACTTCTGTCCCTGGAGAGTACGTATCCTCCTGCACACCAGCTGTCTCTGGACATGTTGAAGGTATCCAACACACACACAGGCTCTAAATAATGACACACGTTATTTTAAACTGAATCATTAACATGTGGTTTGTGTGTTCTCAGCGTCTCTCCACCGCCAACGATGAGATTGTCGAGGTTCTGTTGTCGAAGCAGCAGGTTCTGGGCGCGCTCAGATTCATCCGCAGTGTCGGTACGTTGATGTTAAATTTATCTACAGAGGTACAATCTCATGACAAAACTTATTAAAGAACTTGTAGTTTAGCTGCATCAGATCATTTTAACAAAGTGATCCCTTCATAAAAAAACTGCACTGTAAGAACTGGAAAATCCTCCAGCAGTGGTAGAAAGATCTGTCCTAGTAGTCACATGTAGGTTTGAGGCTGGAGCAGTAAACGTACACGCAAGTACCAGGACAGAGAAAGCCGCTCATTTAGTCTGGCACGGGCTGCTGAAGCCTCGTGTCTCCAGACGTCTTCATGGATAAAGGACTGTAGATTTTAGCTTACAGTGTAGTTCCTCTATGAATGTCATGCTTCGCAGCCACCAGTAACTCTTTTAACGTGCACAATGTATGTGAGCACTGTACTAAGATACAAAAAAGCCTGAACTTTGAAGTGAACTGACCGTAAACTGGTTTCACCGGGAGCAGGCGGCCATGACAACGTGTCGGCCAGGAAGTTTCTGGATGCAGCACAGCAGACCGGAGACCAGATGTTGTTCTACACCGTGTTCAGGTCGTTCCAGCAGAGAAACCAGCGGCTGAGAGGAAGCCCCAGCTTCAACCCCGGTGAGAGAAAACACACAGGCGTGACATTATATCATCAGTCACTGACACTGTTTTAAGTCATGAATGATTCACTTTTAGATGTGATGTGTTAACAGACTTTTATTTAATTATAGTAATTAAAAAATTGGTTTCTGTCATTCAAATTAACATTAAAATGTCTTAAATATCAGCTGACCAAACCTGCAGACACCCTGCCTGCTAAACCCAAGCCTAAATATGATCATTTATTCTAACTGCAGTAACTGGAGTCAATAAGAATCAACTTGTTTATATTGTCATGGTTGTATTAACAAATGAAAGTTTTGATAGTGAGGACCAGTTAAAGGATAACTTAGGATCCCAGTTGAAATATACCTATTCCCCATGTTTTAAAATTGGTCCAGTATTGAGCTAGGGTACTGCAGTCGACATGTAAAACAGGGCTGCAACGTAATACTTGCAGGCATTTGTCTTCTGTAGTGCTTGTTTTTGCCACTGACAGGCTCGGATTGTTATTAAGTGTCTGACAACATTACGTGAGATCCTTTTTGTTTAACCAGAAACATTCGTTATGTCACTCTCGCCAAAGCCACCAGATTCCCTTGACAAAAACAGTAATTTTACCTCTTTTATTCTTCCGCTGTCTCAATCGCTTAGCTTGTGTTATAATGTGACTTTGGTGTTTTAACCCTTTAAAATAAGAAAGTTACATGCAACCAGGTAAAATAAATATTTGTCATTGGAGTCAGGTGGGTTTGACTAGAGATATATTTAAACAGAAACAATTAAAACAATTAAAGTTACCCTTTAAAGATTTGAATTTAGTAGGAAGTTGTTTTTCTGGTGAACTGACCCTTTTAAATTACCCATTTAGCTCTTTGGGACTAACTTTTAAGTGTGTGTGTGTGTGTGTGTGTGTGTGTGTGTGTGTCTGTGTGTGTGTCTGTGTGTGTGTCTGTGTGTGTGTCTGTGTGTGTGTCTGTGTGTGTGTCCAGGAGAGCACTGTGAGGAGCATGTGGTTCACTTCAAGCAGCTGTTTGGGGATCAGGCTCTGATGAAACCCTCCACTGTGTGAACCATCAGGACCAAAACACACACTTACTGTAAACTGGATCACAGCAGACCGGTTGGACTTAGTCTCAGTCACTTTGGACACGCAAGAAGTTCAGGAGACGAATTGATGGGGTGATGAACCAACACGGGGAACAGATCATTATGGTTTAAATGGACACTCGTTTCTCTTCAACATCATTCTAATTATCCTGCTTATTTGCACAAATAAACATCATATCCTTGTTTCAGGATGGCCTGTACTATGGCATATGAACACCTGATCCAGATTACTAGTCTCATCTGCAGGTTTGTCTCCTTGACTTGAAGCATACAAGAAAAATTAAAACATAAATAAATAATAAGTCTAACTGGCATTACAATTATATTTGAGTAAAAAAATCTGATTTATGAAATATTTTTATAATAACCTAAATTGACATTTTGATAAGGTTCCCTTAAACCATTTCATGTCCTCATTAAAAAAGTAATGGCAAAAAAAACTGTTTTCATTTCCCTAGGGCAATAACAACATTTATTTTTTTAACAGACTCAATCATTTTTAAATGTAGTGCTTCATGGTAAAAGTATCAAAAAACATTAAATGCCCCAAAACTTTAGGAAACGTCAAATATAATGCTACCATTTTGCAGAAATAAAACCTGTACTGTTATAATGCTAGTAATATGTTAAAATACCAATATGTCTATTTACAGTACTTTGAAAACATCTCAGAAATGGTAACAAATCACATTGATAAAAATTTTAATAATTTTAAAATCAAATAAAAATCCTTCAGATTTAATAATAGTGTTTACTGGTGAAATCTGTAACTTCAGGTCATCATCACTCGCTTGTTGCTGTGACGCTTAAAGGCTGTCAGGCGGCGCACACTAATGTCACCTGTTGTGGGCGGGGCCAGAGGCTGTAGCTGTAAAAGTGTTTTGGGATCTCTGTATCAAAATTTTGTGCATATGAGGGTAACGGTGAATTTAATGTCTTTATTTTGTAAAGAATGAATCATTATGTCAACTGAAATGTATTAAGTAAAGAAATGTTTAAATTGGATTGTTGGATGATATTAAAAATTTAAAATGATAGATAGTCTGTGTACTTTATAAATGTGCCTAATTAAATAGCTTTCTGTAAAGAAAATAAGACTAAACTGCAGGTGTGTTATTTCAGTGGTGCATTAACATGGTAGTGTGATAATTAGACATTAGGGCCTTCAGTGTTGTGAGGTCAAAAGGGAATTTTTGGGAAAATTCCTGTTTTAATAGCTTCCATTTAATGTGACTCAAAATCAGTGCTAAGTATTATTTCCATACTGGACAAATAATGACATCTGATTACTATTTATGAATTGTTACATTGATTTAATAATGTTGAGGTTTGTATTGTTTGTTTGGACATGGGTCACTTTGGGCTCTGGGAAACTGACAGCATTTCTCTATTTTCTGAACTTTTAAAAACCAATCAAATTTGTACGTTTTAAATGGAGAAAATGTTCTGCAGATTAATCCATAATGAAAATAATCATTAATTTCAGTCTATTACAAGATAGTTTAGATCCACCTCAGCAACTAGAGCAACCTGATCAGACAGGGGAAACTAACAGTAACGTATTACTTACTATGTAAACTACAAATACCAATAAACCCACAGTTATTCCAAAAAATTTAAGCTTACTTAACATTAACCAAAATGCTTAATATAATATAAATCAAGAACCAAAAGTAACTAATTGTGTGCGCTACAACAAGATACCTTTGTACCATCTACAAAATAAAGTAGTGTAAGTATATGTATGTGAAACAAATGTGTCCTGTACATTATTTGTACATCCGATAGAGCGCCGCCATCATGAAAACTTTCCCACTGCCCTCTTCCCAGCATAAGTCTGTTTCACACACAACACGTTGCCAGCTTTGTGCGCAGCATGATTACATACAAAATCATAATGATGAATAATAAGATGTAGCCTAATTATTTCCGCATCAGTTTGATCCGTTTATTACCTAATCACAGCAAAATGTTTATTTTGGGTTCATACAGCTGTAGTAGTGGCGGGAAAGGAGACATGTTGGCCCTGCTTTGACTTAAGGCTGCTGCAAATCAGCCGAAACAAGTGTTACTTCTGACATTAATGAGCTGCAGACCATGATCCACTCGGGCCAGACAATTGGGCCAGACAATTGGACCAGGCGCCACAAACTATTTCATCTCACTGATTAGGTTGGTTCACATGCAGAGGAAATTCCTGCGCTTCTCATTCAGGGGAACGTTACATATTTCCTGATGGCTATTTTGAAATAGCTGTCGGGAAATGTGTGATTGGATTCCCATGAATCTCTTCATAACTTTGCTGAAGAGGACAATAAAAAACACACAAACAAGATAATAAAAAGTCATTGAGAGCAGGAGTTGACTTAGATTGCGAGTCCTGTGCTGTGCCAACTGAACTAACCTATGACAGAATCTCGAGATCACGGGAAAACGGAGTAAAAAAAAAAGTTGAATGGATGGCTGCTTAGGGCTTCCATAGAGAAGTAATGAAACCAGAAAATATTTATATTTAAGAAGCTGTTATAAGATATTTTTTCTTTTAAAGAATGACTCAAACCAATAAATTAATTTTCAAAATTGTTGAAATTATGTTTGGAGTTTTAGTATGTAGACATCAAGAAGCTTCGATTAAATCCAGATTTTCTACCGGTTGTATCTTCTTATTCCTGTGTGTTACAAACTATTATATGTTAAGCTGTGAGAAAACTGGTTTTGATGGCAATAAGCAGAACTTCAGAGAAGGAGTTTTATGCATGCAAGCTGGATGCTGCTTTTTTAAGTTGTTCTACTTCTGGTAAAATTCAGGCAGTGCAGACACTCATCACTATGTTTAATACGTACGTTAGAAGAAGAAGTAGTATAATTTTATAAGTTTGACATCGGAGCAATATTTTCAACCATTAGATCGTGGATGAGAATATTAGCCATAATATCGACTTGCATCAACCATAGACTGTATATAAGAAGTGGACGTAGTCATCGTGACGTCACCTGTTGGTTTGTGGACTGTCGTTTTGAAACCTCGAGTTTGGCCGATAGGGCGCCAACATGTTGAATTTTTGCAACCGGCGGCACCGGACAGGAACATATTTTGGAGACGGTGGGGCTAACGGCCATGTGTGGAGCTAACTAGCTTGCTTGGCCAGGGACCATAATTTACTAAATGAATATCATGTTGTATTGAAGAAGACATGGAACTGACGACTGAGACCATAAACTCATCAGGAAAGTATTTACTGAAGTTATTATTAAGGTGAGAAGTAGCCTCATTTTGCCATTATTTCTAATGGAGCCAGACTTCTTTTTGCGACCAGAAGAGTCGCCCCCTGCTGCCTGTTCAATAGAATGCAGGTTTATGGGACTTCCGCATTCGCATCAGTTTGCTGACCAGAAGCTTCGCGCTTGGAATCAACATGTTGTGATCCCACCTCGAGAGAACTTTTTTGTTCCTCTCTTCAACAAATGGATTCTACAACGAATGTTTCTCAGATCACGGCATGTGCTGCACTTTTTGTTTCGGATTTTGATCCGCATCCATCAACCTATGGACGATTTTGCATTTCCCCAGTGTATCCAGACATAGGACATTTAGGGGAATCACGTTTTCTGATGGCTCTTTCAGAGGTGTGTCAAGCAGGCTACAGACTCTTTTAACGTTGTTCACAATTAATCAAAGTAAAATCTCAGTTCAACTCCAATACTGCATTACATTAAATAAGCTTCTTGCGCTTTTATTTTGTAGGCAAAAGCACTTACGAGGAAGTAATTATGTGAGTAAATGTTGCTGTCATGACTGAGATCTATTTCATCACCACTATCAACGCATTTATTCATTTATATTTTTTACCACCATCAAAACACTATAATCTGGCAGTGGGCCAGATATTATTGTTGGCGGGCAGTTTTGGCGAAGGCCCATAATCACAGAGAGAATTAATGTGTTTCCATTGTCAATGTTTGTATAAACTTTATCTAAATCTTTTATGTGTGGTTTTTAATGGACTGTGGTGCAGAAACAGTGACAGTGTTTCACACTCTTGGCTGACATTTTCCATTTTATCGGTCAGTGGCCAAGTCACAATAACATATTGTTTTCTGAATAATAAAGTAAATATAATCTCTTATAAATATAGCTAAAGAAACCTCAATCCTTGACTAGCCAGCCACCGTAGCTGTCCTATGCTCTTTGAAAGGTTAAGCCTAGTTCACACAACACAATTTTTAGCCCGATTTGACGCTGGGCGAGCTCTGCAACCATCAGGCTGTGATCGGGAGTAAATCAGCGGTTGATCGGCGGTCACCAGTCGTTATGTGTGAACTACTCAACGACGCATCACAACGGCTCCCCGACACATTTCTGACACGTCGCCGACGTCTGCCAGATATCTAGCATGCCAAATACCTGGCGGAGTTGGCCGACTCAACATCCACAACCAGCCAATGAGAGCAGGCAGCTGGCAGAGCAGGCCGCTACTTTTTCACTTAAAAACACTTTTTACTCCCCTTCAGCTCTCTCTGTAGCACAAACAATCCCTGCTACCTGTGTGTGCTAAGCCATTCTTTCAGCCATATTCTTTGGCTTTATAATTGCTATCTTTATAATAACAAACAACACCTGTTAAATGTGTAGGTTCGCCTCATTTCCAGTTTTACATTTCACGTGTGTTTTCTTGACAAAACATGGTTTAGAGACCTGCGTAGTGTGTGACCCCCTGTCTCCGATCAGTCACATAATGTGAACGCCACAACGACTTCAAGACTCCCATCACAAGACGGAAAATTTTGTAGTGTGAACGGCACAGCCATCAGCCGACGCTGAAAGTCGTGTAGTCTGCACAAGCCTTTAGGGGGCAGAGGTAGACTGGAAGGATTGTTGCAATTCACAACCCTCACCACTAGATGCCACTAAATCTTACACACTGAACCTCTAAATGTGTTAATCTGCAGTTGTGTCGTCATAAACAGAACTAATCTGCTGAGGCACTTTGGGTTCAGAATATCTAAATGAAATAAAGTCCAGGTCCAGGTGGAGGAGGTGGCTGAGTGTGGAGCAGCAGGAGTGGAGGAGTGTGTCTGCAGAGACTGTGTAGACCTTTCTCATCACTCACACTCGGACAGAGCTCACTTCCATCTGATGAGAGAAGAAGACAGACAGCAGAAGTCATAAATCAGAGTTTACAGAGACTCCCTTCATCAGCTGTCAGTCAGTGATGCAGCACATCCAGGATAAAGACCAGCAGGGACTTCAGTCCTGGTCAGACCAGAAGTGGAGCGGCTGTGTAGCGTAGCCAGCTTCCTTTCAGCTCTCATGTTAACGTATTGGAGTGAACACAATAAGACCTGCAGAGACTTTGGTCTGTAGAAAGACCACATGGTTACTAAATGTAATTGTGGTTCCAGAGCCAGTGATTTGCAGGCTTCAGTCAGACTGATCTCAGAGCTGTGACAAAGATAAACTAATCAATAGTTTAGTGTTGAAATGCGAGAACAAACACTTTGAGATCAGATTTGATGGCATGGCAGTTTGATGAATGAGGATCTCGTGATGCTGTCAGCTGTAATCCAACTTTATTTCATGTAGACATGAACACAACAACAACAGTTGTCTTCACATCAACTCAAACACATGATCACAGCAAGCTTCTGGCTGATATGATTGGCTGACTGTTCTCGCTCTCAGTCTTTCTGTCCAATCCTGAAGCCTGTCACCATTCTCCTTTCACAGCTTCACTGAGGAAAGCAGCCGCTGAGAAGTTTTGAGGTTTACAGGAAATCCTGGATCATTGCTTTGAAACTAACTGTGTTTAGTCCAATACTGCTGAAACCAGCATGGACTGACTCACACACTCTACTACCCTAAAATCAGTAGAAGGACTTTGTCATTGTGTTATTGTGGATCATCATAATGTCAGCCTTCTACAGACATCATCCAAATGTCAGCAAAACATTCATACACATATTCATGTCAGCACAGATTAATAACGTGTTACTGATCTCGGGTCAGTCTGGAATTAGAGGAGAAAAACTACACACACACATAGAGAAACTATGTCTGAAGGATCAGTATCAATGATCAGACATTTAAATTGACCTATGACACCTGATAGGCCAACCCATGGTGTCTTACAATCTCTCTCATATTAGTATAATTTATAAATACATATGATCGGCCATTCATTCAAAATTGTTTTCCTGTGATAACGGGATAATTATCTAGAGATCTCGAGATAACACACTACAGTTGAATCCAGGGGTCGGCAGGTGCATTTCTTTAGGATAATTTCACTGGTTAGCTCAATTGCTAGAGTGTAAGACTTATAATCAAAGAACTGAGTGTTCAAATTCCGTTTTTAATGATTTTGTATTTATTATTTTGTTTGTTTTTTATTATCCTCTTCAAAAAAGCTGTTATGAAGAGATTCAGGGGAATCAACTCACACATTTCCCGGCGTTTTTTTTTGTAGCATGTACCCGCAAAGACATTTTGGGTAATGGTTATTGTCAGGGACTCTTCCAGCCAGACAGAAGAATATGCTAGCTAGTGAAGTGACAGCAACTGAGAAATTAACACGGTGTGGAGATGCAAACACAAAAGCGGCTTTCAGATGCAAAATTTGAAATAGGCAGCTGAGCAAAAAAAAGCAAATCTTCCAAACATATTCAGTTTTCTTAAAAGAAAGACGGGATAGCAGCAAGCATGAGATGTGAGCAAGAAGAGTCAGAAGGTGTCCCTTCTGTTGCGGCTAGCAACAGCATCACGCCCTCCAGACAGCATCTCAATAGTGAGAGCAATACAAGAACTAACTATGATGTTGGTTTGATAACAACTGCATCGCAGCAAGCTTTGGGAAAGTCAGTACCGATTTACTGTAACGGTGCCTTCTACCGAACCATCTTTTCCAAACTAAAACTTATCAAATTTTATCATTAAATGAGGGGCTCATTGGCACAGATCCGTTTATTTGAACTTGCCACTCCATCAATAGTCACTAATAGGATCATGTCTTCATGTGTGAAGGTGCGCTGCCACCACAACTTTCACATCATATTAATCTCAGCACAGAAGGAAAAAATGGTGTCTGACCTCAGAGTCTCCAGTCTCCAGTGTGGATTCTCCAGAAAATCACACAGCAGCTTCACTCCTGAATCCTGCAGCTTGTTGTTACTCAGCTCCAGCTCTCTCAGATGGGAGGGGTTGGACTTCAGAGCTGAGGCCAGAGAAGCACAGCTGATCTCTGTCAAACTGCAGCTCCTCAATCTGAATAAAAAATAAATGAAACGTAAATAAAAATCAATTCCAGTTTTTAAATGTGTACTATCTCCTAATCAATTAGCCTTTCCCTAAAATGAATAGAGTGACTTTGTCATTGTGATATTGTGGATCATCATATCAGTCTTTTACAGACATCATCCAAATGTCAGCACAACATTCATACATTTATTCATGTCAACACAGATTAATAACATGCTGCTGATCTCAGTCCAGTCTGGAATGTCAAATCAGACATGTTATACTTTCATTTTCATATGTTTCTTCTAACTCGTAAAAATCATGTGTCATTTTATGAAAACTACTAAAACAGATGTCCTTGATGCTCATTTCAAACCACAGATTTAGACTCTCCTCATCACCACTGTCATCTCCATCAACACACAGTTGACTGATAAAAATTATCTATTGTGATTTGTGCTCAGACAAACCCAGAAAATAAGAGGACTGAAGGAAAACTTCTGATATAGATTTCAATTTAGTAGGACAAGAGCAAAATACATGAACTGACTTCAGAATCTCCAGTCTACAGTTTGGACTCGCCAGTCCAGTAGACAGCAGCTTCACTCCTGAATCCTGCAGCTCGTTGTTACTCAGGTCCAGCTCTCTCAGATGGGAGGGGTTGGACTTCAGAGCTGAGGCCACGACTTCACAGTGAGTCTCTGAGAGTCCACAGCCAGAAAGTCTGTAATGACAGAGAATATAAAACTTAAAGTAAAGTAAAATCTGATAGTTATTCTAAATATATACTGTTTGCATTTTGCATCACAACGCACATTAACATGAGTTGAGCAGCTGTAGCTCAGCTGGTCAGCCTGAGCTGGTCAGCCATTGATCTTAAGGTTTGTGGTTTGAAACTTGAGATCCTCCTGTCCACATGTAAAAGTGTCCATGAGCAACATAATGAACCACAACTTACTGCGTTAGACAACAGCATCTGCCAAATTACTGTAATGTGAACATGTCATACTATAATTAATGGGGTCCTGTGATATGTGTTTTTTATTTTATATAATTATTTATTTATTTTATATTTTAACTTAAGATAACTGCACTCCTACATTTACCTCATTCATGTGCTTGTTTGTCTTTTGTGCATCTTTGATGCATCTTATTATGTTACTCCTTTTGCTTTTCATCTGCCATAAAATTAATATAATGACCCCTATTACATTAATAGTATAATTACTGTTAAAGGCTGTATTATTTACATTTTAGTGGTAATAGTTTGTCACCAGTCACCAGAAGACCGGTGTTCGGTTCCCACGTGAAACAAAAAGACAACATTAGCATTTATTTTTATGTTTTGTAGAGTTTATTTTAGCGTATAATTTTAGCCTTATTGCTAGTTAACTGTGTTACTTTTAAATAAATTGACAGCCCCTGAAGCCCCTTACCCTAACCATCACACGATTGTGATGCATAAACCATGACTGTATGCATGTCGGTTAACCCTAAAGCTGCGCACATCAGCCATGAGACCGAACAGACGGGATACCAGTTGTGGAGGACATGTTAGTCTGAAAGTTTGTATTTGCAAACTGATATAATTTCTCACATTAAGTTTAAAACGCTGTCTATCAGTAAACACCAAGAAAGTAACTTTGGAATGTATCAGTTTACAGACCAGTCAAATCCTACCAGAGAGAGAGAGAACTTCCTTACTGTTTAACTCATTGCTAATGTAGCAAAACACAAGAAAACATATTCATTGTAAAGTCACACCTTTTATTTATTGAGGATGGAGAGGGGAATGTTGTGTTCACTATTTAAGAGGGAGGATGGCCTCTCCTCACATCCTCTCAAAAAATAATTATAGATATTGTATAAATTATGAAAAGAAATCATGTAAAATAGCTCAGAAACTGCAGATAAAACATTCATCAACTACATGGAAGCTATAATGGAAAAAGCCTCCAAGAGACGTTAGTTCCAGCAGATCACATATGACATGTCTGTGTGTCTGTATATAAAAAGAACAATAAACAGACACATTATAGAAACTGTCTCCACTGTAAAAATAAAAAGACTGTGCTGAAAATGTTTTGACAGTTATCATTTTATCACAAGAAACTCTTAAAGTCATTACGTTTCCTGCTGGATTTGTATCAAGCCTCCATCACCCAAAGAAAGATAGTTAGAAGATGATTGAAGATACTTTTGTCACTAACTTAATAGCTATAAACACAAACATTATGTTTGTAGACTTTTTTAGTATAATACGTATAATTGTTTTAGTAATAAGTTTAATACTTTAGAAAACATTTATAGAGGGGAGGTGTTTATATTGTGCATGTGTATAAAGTGTGTTTCTTTATTGTCATACTTATGGCTTTAGCTTTATGTTGTTTTAGTGTTGACAATCACATCTGAACTTACAGAGCCTTTCTGCAATTCCTCAAAGCTGGAATCAGTCTCTGTCGTCCCTCCTCTGTTGTGTTGTATTTCTTAAGGTCGAACTTATCCAGAACCTCCTCTGACCTCTGCAGCATGCAGGCTAGAGCTGAGCAGTGGACCACAGAGAGTTCTTTCTTTGATCTGTTCTCTGACTTCAGGAACTCTTGGATTGTCTGATGTACTGAGTGGTCGTTCATCTCCATCAGACAGTGGAAGATGTTCATGCATCTGTCAGTAGAGGTCTTCTTACTGTCCTTCTGTACCATCTCCTTCAGGTTGTTGATGGCTCTCGAGATGATTTCTGGACTGTTGTCTGTCCGACCCAGCAGGCCTCCTAAGAGTCTCTGGTTGGACTCCAGAGAGAGGCCATGAAGGAAGCAAACAAACAGGTCCAGATGGCCATTTTTACTTTCAAGGGATTTTATCATCGCTCCCATCAGGAAGACATCCAAGGTTGAATCAACATGTTTTTTGCTCAGGAAGTTATTAGAAATCTTCTTTAGAAAAAACACTGGTTTTGAGTCCCTGTATTTGTAGTCTTGTAGGAAGTCCTCCAGTACCTCTGTGTTCCTGCTGGTGTAACAGTGGAACATGTAGACTGAAGCCAGAAACTCCTGAACGCTCAGATGAACAAAGCAGTAGACTGTTTTCTGGAAGATCACACTCTCTCTTTTGAAGATCTCTGTACAAACTCCTGAGTACACCGAGGCCTCTGTGACATCAAGACCACACTGCTCCAGGTCTTCTTGGTAGAACATGATGTTTCCTTTCTCCAGATGTTCAAACGCCAGCCTCCCCAGCTTCAGAAGAACCTTTCTGTCATACTCCATCAGCTCCTGTGGACTCGTCTCATGTCCCTCATCGTACTTCTGCTTCTTCCTCTTTGTCTGAACCAGCAGGAAGTGTGAGTACAGGTCAGTCAGGGTCTTGGGCAGCTCTCCTCTCTGGTCTGTAGTCAACATGTGCTCCAGAACTGTAGCAGTGATCCAGCAGAAAACTGGGATTCGACACATGATGTGGAGGCTCCTGGATGTCTTGATGTGTGAGATGATTCTGCTGGACAGCAATCCATCACTGAATCGCCTCCTGAAGTACTCCTCCTTTTGGGCTTCACTGAAGCCTCTTACTTCTGTTACCCTGTCAACACATGAAGGAGGGATCTGATTGGCTGCCGCAGGTCGGGAAGTTATCCAGACGAGAGCAGAGGGAAGCAGATTCCCCTTGATGAGGTTTGTCAGCAGCAGGTTGACTGATGACTTCTGTGTGACATCAGACACAACCTCATTGTTGTGGAAATCCAATGAAAGTCTGCTTTCATCCAGGCCGTCAAAGATGAACAACAGTTTCCAGACAGCGAGCTTCTCTGCTGGGACCTTCTGTAATGTTGGATGGAAAACGTGGAGCAGTGTGAGAAGACTGTACTGCTCATCTTTGATCAAGTTCAGCTCCCTGAATGAGAGCAGAACCAGCAGACTGATATCTTGGTTTTCCAAGCCCTCTGCCCAGTCCAGAGTGAACTTCTGCACCGAGAAGGTTTTTCCAACACCAGCGACGCCGTTGGTCAGAACCACTCTGATGGGTCTCTGTTGGCCAGGTAAGGCTTTAAAGATGTCGTGGCACTTGATTGGAGTTTCATGGAGGGTCTTGGAAGCTTTCTCAAGCTGCCTCACCTCATGTTGGGTATTAACCTCTTCACTCTGTCCCTCTGTGATGTAGAGCTCAGTGTAGATCCTGTTGAGGAGGGTTTCACTTCCTGTTTCATCACTTCCTTCAGTCACACGTTCACATCTCCTCCTGAGACTGATCTTATGTTCATCTGAAACCTCCTGCAGACCACACTCTGCTGAAAGAGAAAGACAAATGTGAGACTAAATCATGGGATAAGTATTGCAAATAAGTACAGGATTTAAATTTACATGATTTTATTAACGTAATTTAATTTTTATATTTTCATATTTTAATTTTATAATTGTCAGCTGGGATTGGCTCCAGCCCTCCACGTCCCTGTACGCAGGATAAGCGGTTGACGATGGATGGATAGAATTTTTATAATTTGTGTGCTACACCAAATAAACCAAGAAGAATCCTTTTTCAGACACAACAACATCAGCAGACAGATGTACAGTCTTACCTTTTACAGAGCTGCTCTGACTGGCTGTCTGCATTCCAGCTCTTGTTCTGGATTTTTCTCCACACTGGGGACAGGAGGAGTCTCCTGATGAAGCAGACTGGTCCCAGTATAAGGTGATGCACTGTCTGCAGAACCAGTGTCCACAGCTGCTAGAGACTGGATCCTTCAGGATGTCCTGACACAAAGAACAGCAGGACGGTTGCTCCTCCACAGAAACATGACTCCTCTCCCTCTCTCTGTGAAGACATTTCATTAGAACTAAAATGATTTGTTGCTTGTTGTTGAAAAATATACAGATTTGGCTGACACTGTGTAGAAGCTAAAATGGTCAGAGAGATCAGTAAAAGTGTTGTTCTGTTTGAATTCAGCTTTCAGTCTGTAAGATAAAATAAGATAAGATTTAGCTTTATTAATCCCCCATAGGGGAAATTTTCTACATTACATTACAGTATATATTACATACATTTATTCATTTAGCTGACACTTTTATCCAATGCGACTTACAATTGCTATATACGACAGAGGTCACACACCTCTGGAGCAAGTAGGGGTTAAGTGTCTTGCTCAGAGTGGATTCAAACCTGGGTCTCTCACACCAAAGACATGAGCCTTAGCCGCTACTCCATCACCAACCCACTGCTCTACTGCCACTTTGAGAGTCAATCGGATACCATCCCCCGTGACTCCTCCGCTAAGCTTCAGCCTCAGTCCACCACTTCTTCCCCCCCTCCCCAGAGCTGGACAGCTCCACCCCCTCCCCCCCTCTCTCCATCACAGAGAGGGAAGTCAACGGTCTTTTCAGGAGGCAGAAACCCCGCAAAGCAGCTGGGCCGGACTCTGTCTCCCCATCCACCCTGAAGCACTGTGCTGATCAGCTGTCTCCGGTGTTCACAGACATTTTTAACACCTCACTGGAGACATGTGCCAGCCTGCTTCAAAGCCTCCTCCATCATCCCTGTCCCCAAGAAACCAAGGACCACTGGACTAAATGACTACAGACCCATCGCCCTGACCTCTGTGGTAATGAAGTCCTTTGAACGCCTTATGTTGTCCCACCTAAAATCCATTACAGATCCACTCCTGGACCCCCTGCAGTTCACCTACAGAGCCAACAGGTCTGTAGATGATGCAATAAACATGGCCCTTCACTTCATCCTCCAGCACCTGGACTCTGGATCCTGTTTGTGGATTTCAACTCTGCTTTTAACACCATCATCCCGGCCCTACAGCAGGACAAGCTCTCCCAGCTGAGTGTGCCTGACTCCACCTGCAGGTGGATCACAGACTTCCTGGTGGTGACAGACTGGCTCCTAACAGCAGGCTTGTACGTTAGCTGTACGTTAGTCAGCAGTACCAGACAGTGGTCAGATTTGCCAAGAGGGGGCACTGCGGTGGCACTGTATGCCTCCTTAACATTCGCATACAGCAGATCCAGGGTCTTGTCTCCTCTGGTGTTACAGGTAACGTACTGTTTGAAGTTGGTCGGTGTCCTTGAGATTTTGGCATGGTTAAAATCTCCGTTAACGATAAGGAGAGCATTAGGAGCCATGTCTGCAGGTCCGCTACAGTGGAGTGGGTGACGCCACAAGCGTGTGCCGCCACTGCCAACAGCGGAATGTAAACAGTGGGCCTTTCTCATTTCCCAAATTTGTGCCTCCGCGTGCCATCTTGAAGGACACCTCACTTTCTAAAATGCACATCGAGGAGGGAGGGTCGAGGTTCAAGGAGGCTTACTGGAGGAGCTATAAGCGAGGATACACCGGTGTATCCTTTGCGGAAGTCTTTTCAGCCATTGTGACGTTTAAAAGAGGCATGGCATGCAGCAGGACTCTGCAGTGTTTATGTTGTATTCATAAGTTGTATTAGTTAAGCCTATTAAAAATAATCAAATGCGCGATCAAACTTTCTGCCCTTCACCATTTGTGTAGTGCCTCATAAAGTGCTGTTCTAACCGCATTCCTTAATGTAATTTTACTTTATATCACTGATGTTGTTATTGTTGAATGTGATGTGTGGAAACCACAAGAAAGAAATCTCCTAGAAAGCTACAGTGTGGTATCTAAATCTGATAAAATAATTAGTTGGTGGGGGGTGGGTGGATGATTTAGCCTATGCATATAGGCCTATATGAGTGCCGTTAATGTCCGAGCCGATCTGCGCATCACACCAATTCAGCTGCTATAATTGTGACAGAACAGTGCACTCAGCTGCTGAAGTCAAATTATTAGGCTGTAATGTCAACCAGAGCATTCAGACCAGATCTGCTGTGTTTCATGTTATAAGCTAATAGTGCCCATGTAGACGTCATTCCAACAGCAGAGTCCTGTGGTGACAGTTTTAAATGGAGCTATATGAGATAAATGTTACTGGTTCATTTTGTAAAGGGCTGAGGGCTGAAATGATCTCCTGTTTACAGACAAAAGGAGCACTGCCAAAAAAAGTTAAGCTACGTATGTGTAATGAATGATTAGGCTGCTGTAATCTGGCTGTTTTCAACAGATGCTATCCGCCTAATGTTTATTGGAACCTTGGGATGTTTCTACGATAAGAAATTATCTGTAGCCTTTGGTACCAAAAGCTGGTCTGCTCATCTGACAGAGATCACAGCTCAAACAGTGAAAAGATGATGCAGCTGTGCAACATGTCATCTGTAATCAGAATCAGAATCAGTTTTATTGCCAGGTATGTGTACACATATGAGGAATTTGACTCAGGATTGTACATTGCTCACGATGTGCTTAGTTATACAATAATACAATAACACAATAATAAAATAATAATAAAATAAAATCAGACACGAACTACAGAATAGACAACACTAATATACACACTATGAACAAAACAATATAGACATATTGACAAATAGTGCAGTGATCAGAGTGCAAAGGATGCAAGAGTAAACTATTCTCATTATGTACATGTTGAAGGTGGATATGATATACAGGTACACATACAGGCATACATGTACACATGTACACAGTGTAATGGAGCATAGTGCAAAGGATGCTGGAAAAAATAAACAAGACCTATGACCTTTTGACCTGAGGTAGGTGTATTGGTATACAGTCTATACAATATGACATAGTATGAACACAGTATGAACAGCACTGAAATAGAGAATGGTAAATAAATAAATAATAAGTGGAAACCAGTAAACAGGTGCTGATTAGAGACAGAGTTACTGGGTTATTGCACAGGAATTGTTCCTGACACTGTGAGTCAGAAATCAGCTGTTCATCAGAGTGATGGCTTGTGGGAAGAAACTGCTTCTGTCTGTTGGTTTTGGCGTACAGTGCTCTGTAGCGCCTACCAGAAGGGAGGAGCTGGAACAGGTTGTGTCCGGGGTGAGTTGGATCTGCAGTGATGTTTCCTGCCCGTTTCCTGACTCTGGAAATGTATAAGTCCTGAATGGAGGGCAGGTTGGCACCAATTATTTTTTCTGCAGTCCTGACTGTCCGTTGTAGTCTGCTCCTGTCAGATCCAAACCAGACAGTGATGCAGGTGCAGAGGACAGACTGGATGATGGCTGTGTAGAACTGGATCAGCAGCTCCTTAGGCAGGTTGAGCTTCCTGAGCAGACGCAGGAAGTACATTCTCTCCTGGGCCTTCTTGATGATCGTGTCAGTGTTGGGCTCCCACTTGAGGTCCTGGGATATAGTGGAACCCAGAAACCTGAAGGATTCCACATCAGACACAGGGCTGTTGAGTATAGTGATGGGGGGCAGAGTGGGGGTGCTCCTCCTGAATTCCACAGTCATCTCCACAGTTTTGAGCGTGTTAAGCTCCAGGTTGTTCTGACCGCACCAGAGAGCCAGCTGATCAACCTCCCGTCTGTAGGCCGACTCATCACCGTCCCAGATGAGGCCGATGACTGTTGTGTCGTCAGCGAACTTCAGGAGTTTGACAGATGGGTCTCCTGAGGTGCAGTTGTTGGGGTAGAGGGAGAAGAGCGGTGAGGAGAGCACACACCCCTGGGGGGCGCCAGTGCTGATAGTCTCACCTGCTGACTCCTGTCAGTCAGGAAGTCTGTGATCCACTGACAGGTGGAGGCTGGCACAGTGAGCTGGGTGAGTTTGGGGCTGAGGATGTCCGGGATGATGAATGCCGAGTTGAAGTCCACGAACAGGATCCTTGCATATGCCCCTGGAGAGTCGAGGTGTTGCAGGATGTGATGCAGTCCCAAGTTGACAGCATCATCCACTGACCTGTTAGCCCTGTAGGCAAACTGCAGGGGGTCCAGCAGGGGGCCTGTAATGTCCTTCAGGTGGGCAAACACCAGTCTTTCAAAGGACTTCATGACTACAGATGTCAGGGCGACGGGCCTGTAGTCATTTAGTCCAGAGATGGAGGGTTTTTTTGGGACCGGGATGAATGTAGAGCGTTTGAAGCAGGAGGTAACTTCACACAGCTCCAGTGATCTGTTGAAAATCTGAGTGAAGATAGGGGCCAGCTGGTCCGCACAGATTTTCAGGCACGATGGTGAGACGCTGTCAGGTCCAGGATCCTTCCTGATCTTCTGCCTTTGGAAGAGGTGGCTCACGTCCTCTTCACAGATCTTGAGTGCAGGTGAGAGGTCAGAGGGGGAAGGTGACTGTTTGAAGATGCGTTGCGTCTGTATTTTGGAAGTTCATGACTGAGGTTTGCTTTGTTAAAGTCCCCAAGAACAATGAACTCCCTCCGGGAGTCTGGATGTTTTTTCTCCACATTAGTTATCTGGTCGGCCAGGTGTAGTAACGCCTCACTAACACAGGCCTGAGGTGGAATGTAAACAGCGACCAGAACAAAAGAGGAAAACTCCCGCTGAGAATAAAAAGGATTGCAGTTTATAAATAATGTCTCTAAGTGAGGCCTGCATGATTTCTTCAACTCTGTGACATCTGTGCACCAACCTTCGTTTATATAGAAGCAGAGTCCGCCTCCCCGTGTTTTTCCCGTGAGCTTTCGAGATCCGCGCGGATGAGATTAAATCCCGGTAGGTGAAGCGCGCTGTCCGGGATGCGCTCGGTGAGCGAGGATTCGGTAAAACAGAGGGCAGCAGAGAGCATTGAGGAGGCACAAATTTGGGAAATGAGAAAGTCCCAGTGACGGCAATGGCGGATGAGAACTCTCGAGGCAAATACTATGGTCTCAACCCGGCGGCCAACACCTCAACATCTGGCGTGCAGATTTCTGCCTTTGTAACATGTCCTGGGTGTCACCATTTGGAGTTAACAAAGACAGCAAGTCTTCCTCCTAACTTCTTACCGTTCTGTTTCTTCCCATCTGTTCGAACAAGTGAGAAGTCTATTAGTTCCACTGAGCAGTCTGGAGTTTTCCCATTCAGCCAAGTTTCAGTCAGACATAAAATGCTCACGTTTCCTTCTGACCAGAGCCGAGAGTTCATCCATCTTGTTCGTCAGTGAGTGGACGTTCCCCGTGATAACCGAGGGAAGACAGGGCTCGTATCTTCTTGTTCCTCACCATCACGCCAGCACGACATCCTCGCCTTCTTATCCTGAACTTCACAGGGACCTCCTTCGGACATGCAACGGGTCGATCTTGAAACTGTAAGAGCTCCTCACTATAGTAGGTGTTTTGTTGTCTGTTGGTTGCGGTCTCCATTGTTGTGTAACCTTATCCTGTTTCAAGTAACGTTAACCGTTGTCGATGAATTAGCCTTCACAAGAGGAATATTTACAAAAGAAAAATAGCTAGAATGTGCAAATAAATAAAGTGTAAATTAGTGCGTGAGTAAAAAAGTTAAATAGAAATATATAAATATAAAAAAGGTTAAAAGCTTGGAAAGGGGAGAGGGAGCTTCTGTGTCCTGCTGCCACTCTCTGTGGCGCCCGAAGTAATGAAGATTATTATTTCTTTTAAATCAACTCTCTTGCTTTCAGAAACACTACTTAACTGTTTTTCCTATTTGAGTGTCTTGTTAAACATTTAGTGATCTGCCTGTAGTTTGTTATTAATACAAACTCAACACTTCCTGCAGATCCTTCACAGTAAAGGCCCTCTATTTAAGAGAGCTGACTAAGTCCATTAATATGTGAGTATAACATACGTTGCACCTTCATCTTCAATGCATCATCTTCCATCAGGTCAGTTTACAGTAAAAACAGTTTCTTACTTTGTGTCTGAGGGTCCAGGTTCATTACTGAGGTATGGAGGATACTCTCTAGACTGGTCACTCTTCATAGACGGACAGCTGGATCCTGCTGACTCTGCTCTGTTCTCCTCTTCCTCCACACAAACACTCATCTTCTGGACTTCAGTCTGTCTGAGAGGAAAAACAGTAACACTGACTGTGAGCTCAGAACACAAGAATCAAGAAGAACAAGTTGTTCAGGAGACAAAAACAAGATGGAGAGAAGAGGAAATAACACACACCCATACACACACACACACACACACACACAAACCTGTGTGTTTGAGCGTCGCTCTTGAATTTGGAATCAAATGTGTTTTGGTCAAAATGTTGGTACTTAATTGACATTTAAATAAAATACCGTAAAACTTTGAATAATAGCCCTCACTGAATTGACCCTGCTATTATTTGGGACAGGCTTCCATATGGGACAGGCCTTTAATTCTTTTTGCACAAAACTGAAACTACTGTCAAACAGTTTATTTATTTCAAACAGAAAAATACTTATGTAAAAATGATCAAATAATATTAAATACACATCATTCATTTGATCTAGCTCCGACAGACGGCTTATGCGCTTTTATTTTGAAGGCGGCAACCTATGGAAAACAACAACATGGTGCAGGATGAGTTCGTTAGCAGACAGAGAGCAATGGACTTCACATGACAGGATTCACAACTTGGATTCATTTTTATGACAAGCAGTTTTGATTCTTTTGATCGGTGGACCCTTACAGACTAAAGGAATATAAATAATCGAGGAAAGGACACATTCAGACTTAACGAGCAGACTTAACGACCGGACTTAACAAGCGCTTCAAAGTTAACTTGAGTCAGCACTTTTTCCCCCTTTTCCTCTCTTGTAGCCATGCAGGTTACACTGGTAAATCTAGAAGAATTAGACTTTCGGTCTTGTTGTTTCCCTTAAATGAACTTAACAGTGGTATTGTGGAGAATCTAACCGATCTAAGGATGTTCAGCATGTCCATATTGACATATTGATCATACGTTTAAACAATAAGATTTGTATTAACAATCTAAGCAGCTAAGAAGCAGATAAAGCGGTCGACCACGCAGGGTTTAAGAGGTTTTATACATCTAAAGAACTTCTATAAAAACCAGACCAGGCGTTTAGTTGAGGCAACCGTTTATTTGTCAAAATGTGTTTTCACACCAGGCCAGTAAAGGAGATAGGCGGCTATTTGGGACTTGGCTATTAATTTAAGTTTTATGGTAAATAGTTTTGTTTAAGTTACAACTAAAGTGCTTTAAACTAAATGGACTAAATGTTCTTTACAGACAGTTTTGGGGATGATACTACTGATTCTTGGTGACTGAATAATCTGAACATAAAGTCCACTTAACAGCTTCTTCTGGAGGTTTAACCCAGTTTTTGTTTGACATGATTTTAATTTATGTTAATTTCCATTGTGTCTGCTAACTGGATGGAGGTTTGTGTCAAAGTTTTGAATTAATGTGTGCAGGATATCACAGTCTGTTTGAAATTACAGAATGTAGATTACAGTGCATGTTTACATACAAGGAGAAGATTTATCATTGTGTGACTAATGATAAATAATTTTTTTGTGTGTGTTTAATTTTTAAGTTTGATGACACGCAGTGTTTAACACATATGGATGCAGGACCGTGTGTTTACTTGCTCACCTTTTGTTTTGTCTTAACTCGTCATGTATTTTAAGATGTGTCTTGTGGGCTGGGCACCTTTGAAGGTATACAATGAAACTTTGTGAACAATTGTATTATTTCCTGAGAAAGCACTTGGTGACAATCAACAGTGTTGGTGCTCAGCTAGTTAGAGTAATCATTAGTTTTACTCTGCATATTAAGCATTAGAACCTGTTTTCTATTTAAGGATCCAAGCAGCAAAGCTGCCGGAACTCTATTGTTTTCGTTCTTATTATTTCTTTCTTTCTTTCTCTTTCTTTCTATCTTTCTTTCTTTCTTCTAAAAATGTTTGGGCAGCAGAAATTGCTGGATGAAAACTCACCATAACTGGCACGTAGGTTGCAATTTCCACCCACTACTCAGGGCGAAAAAATGGTCCTCAGACCTCATAGTGGCTCTTTAATAATCAACTTTGCGTTTTTGCAATTATCTCAAAAATGGCTTAAATAGGAGTTGAACTTCTTTCATTATTGTAATCTCTGGATTCATCTGCATCTTTTCTCCAATGGTCTTCTGCTCTAAAAATGTCAAATTATACGACTTTTTATGCACATTTTCTTTTTAATTCAGTGTTGGATCTAATGCCAAATAATGGCAAAATAATTTCCAACACACCAAAAACCAGCAGAATGATGCGTGATTTTTTCAGAATTTTCTCACCAACATCTTGACTGTTGTAAGCATTTTAAGATTGACACTTTCTTCTTATTTTTCTTTATTTTCACTCTCTGATCTCAAGGTGATGCTGTAAAAAGCAAGTTTGCATTTCTGCAATTATATCAAAGTCAAATTCTTTCATCACTTTAATCTCTCAAGTGATCTGCATCTGTCATCCTCTAAAAATGTCAAATGTTGCGTTTTTCACAACTTGATTGGATCCCGTCCATTGCCACTCGCAGCTATATTTTAAATAATAGATTCATGTTCTGTTTTTATATTTATTTTGTTGCTAATAAAGCTAGTTGTCTTTTGTTTGATTGTTGCTGGTCGTCTCCAAACCTGTCAAACTCAGTTTGTCAGGGAGAGACATCACCATGGGACCCATGTAAGCTGGATCATAATGAGATCATAGTGACTCAGCTGTGACAGCGTCTCCATTAAACTAAATCTGAAAATGTTGTCAGAAATGTCATCCTTTCTTTTCTTTTTTCAAAGCTTTGATGTTAACTTTCAAACAGCAGCTAATTAAAAACTTTCTTTGTTCATGAAGCCTAATGTTCCTCTATAAATGGCAAACAGCAAAACATTACCAGCAAACACTGAATGAGTTAGAAGCAGTTGACTTACTTTGTGTCTGAGGGTCCAGGTTCATTGCTGAGGTATGGGGGATACTCTCTAGACTGGTCACTCTTCATAGACAGACAGCTGGATCCTGCAGACTCTGCTCTGTCCTCCTCTTCCTCCACACAAACACTCATCTTCTGGACTTCAGTCAGTCTGAGAGGTAAAACAGTAACACTGACTGTGAGCTCGGGACACAAGAATCAAGAAGAACAAGTTTGTTGAAGAATCACAAACTGACTCTGAGAGAAGACTGAGAGAAGAGAAAATAACACACACACACACACACACACACACTTTAAAAAAACTAGTCAGAACTCCACCTGCTCTCTTGTCTTTAACTCTGTGCTTGTTTTCTTGGTTACTGCAAGTTTAATGTGTTTCATTCAGCCAATCACGACTTTGTGTCCACAGAGAAATCAAACTGTTGAGTTCACTCTAACATTTCTTTCCTCTACAGTCCACAAGGAGAAAACTGACTCAGATACTTAGGCAACTTTCAACTTCAGATTCCCTCCCTGTTCTCACCTGCAGTGTTGCTCCTCCCCTCATCAGTTGAGTCTTTCTATATGTGTTTGCGTGTGAGTGCATGTGTAACATGATGTGTTTGTGAGTGTCTCTCTTGGCCTGAAAAGGTTGAATTAAAACAGATTTTGCTCAAAATGTTGGAACTTAAATGAAGTTTTAAATTATGTAAATAATCAGTTTTGTTTAAGTTACAACTAAACTGCTTCAAACTAAATGAACTAAATGTTCTTTTACAGTTAACATTTTTGGGGATGATACTACTGATTCTGGCTTAATAATCTGAACTTTAAGTCCACTTAACATCTTTTTCTTGCCCTTTAACCCAGTTTTTGCTTGATGTGATTTTAATTTATGTTAATTTCTGTTGTTTCTGCTAACTGGATGGAGGTTTGTGTTAAAGTTTTGAATTAATGTGCGCAGGATATCACAGTCTATTTAAAATAACAGAATGTAGATTACAGTGCATGTTTACATACAAGGAGAAGATTTATCAATGTGTGACTAATGATAACAAAACCTTTTGCGTGTGTTTAATTTTTAAGTTTAATGACACACAATGTTTGACACATATGGATGCAGGACTGTGTGTTTACTTGCTCACCTTTTGTTTTATCTTAACTCGTCATGTAATTTAAGATGTTGTTGTGAATTATTTTAGAAAATTACAGCCTAAATTGTTATCATTAATTACTAGAGCAAAGGTGGTCTGAATTGGCATCATTTAAAGTATTATTTTAGAGTGTAAAGTTAAGATTACAATGTCAAAACTCTATAGCTATTGTCATCATTTAGAGTGTTATTTTATAGTGTAAAGTTAAGATCACAACGCTGAAACTCCATAGCTCTGAGAGTGTGTGGTCCTCTCTGTGTCTAGCTGCCCGGAGGCAGTAACAGTAGCACATGTGTGTGTAAGCAGGCATGTGTGTAAGGAGCAGGATGAGCACAGCAAGGCATCATCAAAAACCCCAGCAGAGGAAAATGTAGAAGCAGAATTAATGAAAATTGTGTTGCAAAACATTCATCAATACAGTAAGAATGTCCTGTCTATAGTACACAGCACAAGAGACACAAGCTTATTCCACAAAGTCAGGTTTTTGGTTAAAATAGCATGATTAGCAGAGGGCATGCCTAGGACACAGAGAGGGGGAGCATTGCAGACAAAAAGTTAGACATCAGTCAAGAAACAGTCATCAGTGATTATCCTTAATCAATATTAATCATTGTTAATCATTTTAATCAGTTTTATTGTCTTCAATCAGTTACTTTAAGTAATCATTCTTATATCATCATTTTTAATAATTTTACTAGTATTAATCATTAATCATTCTTATTCATTTTCTTTTACATAGATGTGCTTTGGTTTTTACTTATAAGTAGTGAACTGTAGTCATGAACACAGAAACAAGCTCACTGTGGTTAGATCCTTGAGTGGGAGGAATGACTGCAGGAACAGACTAAAGGTGGTTCGTCTTGTCCAACTGTCATCTACTGTAGATTATGACCATAGGAGAGGCTGCAGGTGTGCAAGATCTGCCGACACTGTGACAGTGCATGCTTCGTTCTGCTGTTATCTACTGTTGTTGTGATTACACGAGGAACTGCTGAGGTGTTAATTTGCTAACATTAAGACTATATGGTTAATTACTGATTAAGGGGGTTTGATTGTCAACTTCCAACCTCTGGTTATTATAGCCAGTATGAGCTTTGAGTGAATTAGCTTATGACCTGTGTGAGCTTTGAGTGAACTTGCTGAAGGAATTCATGCTTTGCAAAAACACGACAGACAGATGATAAGCAGAAAGCAGAAAGCAGCCAGCATAACATCAAGAATGCTGTAAGAAACCAAGCATTAATGAAAAATGCAAATTTACTTATGTTATTCTTATATTAATTGCCTAAAAAATACAGTTGTGTGTCAAATTAAGCATGCGTAACCTTTAAAAAACACAATGAGACTGAAGTTGAAATGTAAATGACGAACTTCTTATCCAGTAGTATAAAGATGTAGAAAGTCTACAATACAGTAATAAACGACAGCTGGGGAACAGTGTTAATTGGTAAAAACAACACAATAACAGAATAAAAGAAGTTCATCATGAGGAAAGGAGGGGGCAAACCAGCCCAGAAGAGATATATATAAGACTGTCTGCAGACCATAGGATTGGCTTCATCCTCCGACCTGTTGGGATGTTGTACGGGTTTATGTGTCCTGTTTTGGATTAAACTCTTTTTGCATCGACTCTTGAACGTCTCCAGAGAAGTTTTTGTCTGCAGAGTTATTGACCACCGTAGAAAGCTAATGGAGTATTCTTTCACAAAGTTTAGTAAGTTGGTGAAGGTGGGGACCAGGCTTAACTGGCCCAGCCTGGTCGTACATCTGACCCAACGTGTCTTAGAGAGTCTGTCAGAGAGACATCACCATGGGACCCAAGTAAGCTGCATCAATTGAGGTCATAGCGACTCAGCTGTAACATTGTCTCCATTAAAACTAAAACTGAAAATGGTGTTGTCAGAAATATCATCCTTTCTTTTCTTTTTTCAAAGCTTTAATGTTTAGTTTCAAACAGCAGCTTATTAAAGCAGAGCAAACATATTGTACTCTCCCGGAGGGAGACAGCCAGCGTGCAGACGCGACACAAAAACCTTCTTTGTTCATGAAGCCTAATGTTCCTCTATAAATGGCAAACAGCAAAAGATTACCAGCAAACACTGAATTAGTTAGAAGCAGTTGACATACTTTGTGTCTGAGGGTCCAGGTTCATTACTGAGGTATGGGAGATACTCTCTAGACCGGTCATTCTTCATAGACAGACAGCTGGATACTGCAGACTCTGCTCTGTCCTCCTCTTCCTCCACACAAACACTCATCTTTGGGACTTCAGTCAGTCTGAGAGGTAAAACAGTGACACTGACTGTGAGCTCAGAACACAAGAATCAAGAAGAACAGGTTTGTTCAAGAGTCACAAACAAGACTGAGAGAACAGGAAGTAACACACACACTCATACACACACACACACACACACAAAGTATACAGTATTATAAAACCTGTCAGAACTCCACCTGGTCTCTTGTCTTTAAATCTCTGCTTAGTTTCTTGGTTTAATGTGTTTCATTCAGCCATACCGACTGTGTGTCCACAGATGAATCAAAGTGTTGAGTTCACTCTAACATTTCTTTCCTCTACAGTCCACAGAGAGAAAACTGACTCAGAGACTTTGACAGTAAAATAATAAAAATGCTGGATTAACACTCACCCTGCCTCAGCCTTCAGTTTTCCTCCTTCTGCTCTGTCGACTCAAAATGGAGTCTGAACTGACTGAACACTTTCAGCTCCAGGTTCCCTCCCTGTTCTCACCTGGATCACCTGATCAGTGTTGCTCCTCCCCTCATCAGGTTAGTTTATCTGTACGCAGAGAGACTACAACACCAGTTTTCAAATAATGACTTTGCTTCTGTCTGAAAGGCTTCAGAGAGAGGTATGTTAACAGACTGTTCATGAGGCAGAAACCTTGCAAAGCAGCTGGGCCAGGCTCTGTCTCCCCATCCATCCTGAAGCACTGTGCTGATCAGCTGTCTCCAGTGTTCACAGAATTTTTTAAAACCTCACTGGAGACATGCCATTTGACAGCCGGCTTCAAAGCCTCCATCATCCTCCCTGTCCCCAAAAAACCAAGGACCACAGGACTAAATGAGATCCGTCGCTCTCTCAGCTGAACGTGCCTGACTCCACCTGCAGGTGGATCACAGACTTCCTGACAGACAGGAAGCAGCACATGAAGATGGGAAAACATGTCTCTGACTCCAGGACCATCAGCACCGGTTCCCCTCAGGGCTTCATTCTTTCCCCCCTTCTCGTCTCCCTTTATACCAACAGCTGCACTTCCAGTCCCCAGTCCATCAAGCTCCTGAAGTTTGTGGAAGACACCACCCTCATTGGGCTCATCTCTGGTGGGGATGAGTCCGCCTACAGGTGGGAGATTAACCATCTGGTGACCTGGTGCAGCCAGAACAGTCTGGAGCTCAACGCTCTGAAAACAGTGGAGATGGTCATGGACTTCAGGAAGAGCACAGCCCCACCCTCCCCCATCATCAGTGACTCCCCCATCGCCACTGTGGACTCCTTCCACTTCCTGGGCACCACCATCTCCCAGGACCTCAAGTGGAAGCTAGCCTCAGTCAGTGGGGTCCGGGTCCCTCACTGACACTCCCCCCTTTCAAATAAAACAAATGTCTCTGCACATGTAAATATCACTTCATTTCACATCATGCACAAACCTGGCACATTGCACATATTTGTTGTTAACTGTTAATCGTTGTTGTTTTATTGTTTTTATTTTTATATATTGTCAATTTATACATTTATGCACACAACATCCTCTTCCATTGTAACACGACTGCACAACACAAACCAGAGCAATGCCTTGTGTACATATTTTCCATAAGGCAGAATGCTTTATATAGTATATTGTCAGTTGCTTACATCATTTGTTGTTTATTTGTGGAATGTTTAGTACTAGTAGTCAGAAATAAACAAGCTCTGGCTTGAGCAAGACGCTAACTCATCTCTTTATTAATCCACAGTGGCTGTGTAACCTTTGCTGCCGGTCCAGATTACCCCTAGGTCTGGCTCAGGTAACACAGGTACCAGGACACTGATGAGACTCAAGTAAGATAGATCTTATTTTAACATTTTGATATTCAACAACATTTCAAGTGTGACTACAATACAGATATAGTACACACTTGGATATACATACCTGTGTATGTATAGACTGTGGTTATTCTAAATCTTCAGCCATGTAATTTACCTTGTTGTACAAATACAAACACCACTCTACAGTTTATGTTATACTTGCACTACCAGTTAAAAACTCTGGCTATCTGTCTGTCTGACTTCTTTCAGAACTGTAAAATGAATTTAGTTGCTGGTCATGTATTACTGTTTCACTTGTCTCCTCTCCCACATCGAGTCAAACTTTATAAAGAACAATAGCAGGACTTTAAACTCTCAGAAAATCTGATTATGAAATATCAGTTCATAATAACATAAATTAACATTTTGATAAGGATCACTTAATCCAACATATACAATGATATCTGTGATCAGTTGATATGGATTGAAGCATCTGTTAAAGCAGCACAGCAATGTGAAACTTATAGAAACAAATTCTGGTCGCTGCTGCTAGTGATGCATGCACTCAACGAGAGAAAGCATGGCGTTAAGCAATGTTTTATGTTCTTTAAAAGTACTGAATACTCCTTTTATAAATGCATGTGCAGAAAAAGATCAAAAGTTGGGATTTACTTACTTTATTTTTTTTATTTCAGCCGGTTGCATTAAGAAACGTTATGTGTTTTGTAAAAAAATACTCCACACTGCTGTTGTGATTATAATATTAGTTAAAAAGTCGTGAGTCGGAAGAGTCTGCTTTGTTTTGGGGGGAAGGGAGGAGGTGTTAGTGAAAGTAATATAGTAACGTAAATAGTTATTTTTATCACCCAGTAAAGTAATATTACTTACAATTTTTTAAGGCGTAATAAGTAACTTGCCCAACAATGATAGTGTCAAACCCACAGATAATTATCTCCAGACTTTGCAGTTCTTTAGTTCAGTTTTCTGCATTAACAATCTTTGGATTTACTAGTAAAATACACTATTTAAAAAAGTTAATAGATATAATCTTGCATTAATAACAATGATACTATGATACTATCTTCATGTGTCTGTGAGTTATAATATTTGTTTTCACGTTTGTTAGAACTATAATGTCGAAATTAATTGCAATTCTTCATTAATCCACAAGGCAGAGCTGCAACAGAAAACATTTAAACAAGTTATGCATCCATCCATTGTCAACTGCTTACCCTGCGTACTGGGTCGCAGGGGGCTGGACAGCTGACATTGGGCGAAAGACGGGGCACACACATCACAGGGCCACACATAGACAAACAACCACTCACACCTAAGGACAATTTTAGAGACACCAATTAACCTAGACTTCATGTCTTTGGTTGGTGGGAGGAAGCCGGAGCACCTTGAGAGAACCCACGTGGGCAGGGAGAACATGCGAACTCCACACAGAAAGTCTGGGGCAACCGGGGTTTGAACCCATGACCTTCTTGCTGTGTGGCGACAGTGCTAGAGTCCAGGTCCAGGTGGAGGACGTGGCTGAGTGTGGAGGAGAAGGAGTGGTGGAGTTTCAGTGTGTCTGCAGAGACTGTGTGGACAGAGCTGACCCTCTCTCAACACCACCACCTATCTCTGACAGAGATCACTTCCATCTGATGAGGGAAGAAGACAGACAGCAGAAGTCATAAATCAGAGTTTACAGAGACTCCCTTCATCAGCTGTCAGTTAGTGATGCAGCACATCCAGTATAAAGACCAGCAGGGACTTTACACAGTGGAAATAAAGTGCTGAGAGTCCCTGAATGCATCATGTCTGCAGAGATAGAGAGATATTCACTGCTCACTTTAATGACGGATTTACTGCTGTTAGAGCTCAAAGCTGTTAAAACCCAGTATCTCAGTTACATTTGAATATTTGATCTATCTATCTATCTATCAGCTGAGATCATATATATATATATATATATATATATATATATATATGAGATGAACTAATCAATAGCTTAGTATTGAAATGTGAGAACAACAGTTTGATGAATGAGGACCACTGTCTCTATACATGTTGTAATGCTGTCAGCCGTAATCCAGCTTTATTTTCTGTAGACATGAACACAACAACTTTCTGTCCAATCCTAAAGCCGGTCACCATTCTCCTCTCACAGCTTCACCGAGGAAAGCAGCCACAGAGAAGGTCGGAGCTTTACAGGAAATACTGGATCTTTGCTTTTACCAACTGTGTTTAGTACAATACTGCTGAAACCAGCATGGACTGACTCCAACCCTCTACTGACCTCAGAGACTCCAGTTTGGACTCTCCACAAGATCACACAGCAACTTCACTCCTGATTCCTACAGATTGATGTCACTCAGCTCCAGCTCTCTAAAATGGGAGGGGTTCGACTTCAGAGCTGAGGCCAGAGAAGCACAGCTGATCTCTGACAAATTGCAGCCCCTCTATCTGAATAATGGTCAGCCATTGATCAAAAGGTTTTTGGTTTGAAACTTGAGCTCCGGTTTATGTCTGCATACAGACTGTTTATAGTAGGCCTATTTGTAACATTTCAACAGCTTATTGATGTACAACCATCCAACTGATTCACAAATAAAAAGGTTGTTTAGGGTGGTGATGGCGCATACATAAGATCCTTTGGTGTGAGAGATCTGGGTTCAATTCCCACTGTGAGACATCCACCATTGTGTCTCTGAGCAAGACACTTAATCCCTAGTATAGCAATTGTAAGTCACTTTGGATAAAAGCGTCAGATAAATGTAATATTTTTATGTTTCGGCACATTGTTTTCATTCTTCAACTTTTTGTGCACGAAAGCTCTACATGGTGGTTGCATTAACAAATTAGAGACCAAAGTGCTAACTTGTTAATAAGAATAACCATTCATGCATAAGGTGTCCCACCGGATATTTTGGGACATTTTTTCAGCTCCCAAAAAGATGACATGTCCGGGGAAAGGAGGATGTATATGCACCCTAATTGACAGCCCCACGAAGCTCCTTACCCTAACCATTACAGGGGTGTGTGCCTAATTGTATGCATGCTGGTTAATCCTACTGCTGTATGCATCAGCCTTGAGGCTGAACAGACATGAGACTGGCAGCTGTTAATATCCTGGACACAGACAGGTTAACAGCTGCCGGTTGTGGAGGACATGTTGGTCTGACAATTTATATTTGCAAATTTCTCACATTAAGCTTAAAAATGCTGTCTATCAGTGAACATTACTAAAGTAGCTAGTCCATTCAAATTCTACCAGCGAGAGGGACAGAGAGTTAAATCAAACTCATTTCTAATGTAGCAAAACATATGAAAAGACATTCATTGTTAGAACAAATTAATGTAAAGTCATGCCTTTTTATTTAATGGGGGTGGAGAGGGGAATATTCTGTTAAGCCTTAAAGAGAAAGTGTGGCCTCCCCTTCACATACTCTCAAATCTAACAATAATTATAGATAGGCCTATTTTATAAATTGTGAAAATGGACAGAACAGCCCTTCATATGAAATTCCTCAGAAACTGCAAAGAAATAAAGAATATCAATAACTGCATGACAGCTATAATGAAAAAATAAACTTCAAGTGATGTTAGTTCCAGCAGATCACAGATAGTCTATATATTAAAAGAACAATAGGGGGGCGTGTCCGACCGTCGCCATGTGAGACGTACTCTCCTTGGTTGCTCCTGGAGTTTGTGACTATCTTTCATTAATAGATGTTGATACAAAATCAAGTCAGGAGGTAACACCTTTTGCACTCCTGAGTTGCCTATGACCTCTACGCGCCCGATAACGGAGTTATCCTGTGGAGGCCACGCTAATGCCTCGCCCTTGACTGACCCGGACTCCCCACCAAAGCTAGATGCTTTTCTTATTGGGACCGGCTCGAGCAAATGCCAGTACCCGGCAACCTATTTTCATATGCTTTGGGCCTTCCCTGAAAACCTTTAGGTTGGAGATTTTTTATACTATTTCACAAATCACGTCTGTCTCTTTCACACCTTTCGGCGATTACTGCCCTATATGGAGTCACCCTCATACGTGCTATACCAAAGACAAAAGAAGAACATAGTAGCTTTTGTAACCCTCTTAGCTAGACGTCTCATTCTTATGAAGTGGAAATCCCAGACCCCACCAACTTGTCATATGTGGATAAAGGACATTTTTTACTTTATCAACATGGAGAAAATCCGTTGCACACTGAGGGGATCGTCAGCTTCTTTCAGGAAAACATGGAGCCATTTTTTGAATATGCAAATATGTTGACTTTTCCTAACATTCCGAACTGACAAACAACACTTTGTACACTGTCTGATCTGTTTTAATGCTTTGTACAGATGTGTGTGATCGTATACTTTAATGTGTCTTTGATAACTGCAATCAGTGTAGTGATAGTGTAAATCTTTATTTTGTATAGGTGGCCTACCTTTTTTGTTTGTTTGTTTGTTTTTATTATTGTCTGTTTGTTTATATATATATATATACATACACAAGTGTCTTGTATGTTCATTTGAACTAATTAACTACTAACTACTAATAATGAGAAACTTGATACTTGCTTTCTTATAACTGTCGTTTATGTGTTTAACAATTCAATAAACAAAGTTGAAAAAAGAAAGAACAATAAACAGACACATTATAGAAACAGTTAAGACACTGTATCCACTGTAAAAATAAAAAGAATGTTGTAATGGAAAGATGACTATCAAAACATTTTCAGCACAAACTCTTAGTTCCTTAATTTTTCCTGCTGTATTTGTATTTGTAAGTCTCCATCACCCAAAGAAATGATAAAAGATACTTGTGTCACTAACTTGATATAAACACAAACAATTATGTTTGTAGAGATTTGTAGTATAAAATGTATAATTATTTCAATCAGCATGTTTAATACTTTAGAAAACTTTTGTATTGCGTCTGTCTGTAAAGTGCTGATTGTCACATCTGGACTTACCGAGCCTTTCTGCAGTTCCTCACAGATGGAATCAATCTCTGTCGTCCCTGCACTGATGTGTTGTACTTCAGCAGGTCCAACTCATCCAGAACCTCCTCTGACATCTGCAGCATGCAGGCCAGAGCTGAGCAGTGGATCACAGAGAGTTTCTTCTCTGATCTGTTCTCTGACTTCAGGAACTCTTGGATCTCCTGATGTACTGAGTGGTAGTTCATCTCCATCAGACAGTGGAAGATGTTCATGCATCTGTCAGTAGTGGTCCTGGTACAGACTGTCGTTCTGTACCATCTCCTTCAGGTTGTTGATGGCTCTCGAGATGATTTCTGGACTGTTGTCTGTCCGATCCAACAGGCCTCCTAAGAGTCTCTGGTTTGACTCCAGAGAGAGGCCATGAAGGAAGCAAACAAACAGGTCCAGATGGCCGTTTTAACTTTCAAGGGATTTCATCATTGTTTCCCTCAAGAAGACATCCAGTGTTGAGTCAACATATCCCCCCCCCCCACGAAAGCTCTTAGTACCTCTTTGTTCCTGTTGGTGTAACAGTAGAACATGTAGACTGCAGCCAGAAACTCCTGAACGCTCAGATGAACAAAGCAGTAGACTGTTTTCTGGAAGATCACACTCTCTCTTTTGAAGATCTCTGTACAAACTCCTGAGTACACTGAGACCTCTGTGACATCCAGACCACACTGCTCCAGGTCTTCTTGGTAGAACATGATGTTTCCTTTCTCCAGATGTTCAAACGCCAGCCTCCCCAGCTTCAGAAGAACCTTCCTGTCAGCCTCCGTCAGCTCCAGTGGACTCGTCTCATGTCCTTCATCATACTTCTGCTTCTTCCTCTTTGTCTGAACCAGCAGGAAGTGTGAGTACAGGTCAGTCAGGGTCTTGGGCAGCTCTCCTCTCTGGTCTGTAGTCAACATGTGCTCCAGAACTGTAGCAGTGATCCAGCAGAAGACTGGGATTCGACACATGATGTGGAATGATGTGGATGACCCTGCATCCATGTAAGCTGTCTCATAGTGAGGTCATAGTGGCTCAGCTGTACACTGGACAGCAGGTACCAGCTGAGGTAAAACTCTGAGACTCAAGTGAACAAAAGTTTCTTTAAAAAGATTTATCTTATTTTAACATTTTGATGTTTGGCAATATTTCAAGTGTTACTACAATACAGAGATAGTACACACCTTTACATACATACCTGAGTAACTATAGAGTGTGTCATTATTCTAAATCCCCATCCATGTAATTCACCTTGTTGTACAAATACAGAACACCAGTATAAAGTTTATGATGGACTTGCACTACCTGTTTAAAATTCTAGTTATCTATATAGCAGTTTAACTTCTTTCAGAACTGTAAAATGAATTTGTTAGCTGGTCATGTATTACTGTATCACTTGTCTCCTCTCACACATTGATTCAAACTTTATAAAGAACAACAGCAGGACTTAAAAACTCGTCTTCATCCAATTGAATGATATTTGTGAAGTTAAAAAATGGAAGTTAAAAAATGTGAAGTTAAAAAATGGACCCTCCAACTGAACTCAGACAAAACAGAAATCCTGGTCATCGGGTTCCAGCAGATGGCAAAACAAATACTGTCATCTGCTGGTTCCCTAGTAAATCACATTAAGCCTGTGGCAAAGAACCTTGGTGTTTGGTTTGATAGTAATTTAAATTTCGAGCAGCACACCACAAAACTTGTTCAATCATGTTTTTATCAACTTAGAAATATAGCAAAAATTCGATCTATGTTAACTTTTAACGACTCAGAGACCATTTTACACGCCTTCATCTCATCACGTCTGAATTATTGCAACAGCCTTTTCACCTGTTTAACCCAAAAATCTATTGATCGATTCCAGACTGTCCAGAACTCAGCTGCCAGGCTTTTAACCAGAACAAAGAAATATGACCACATTACTCCTATTTTAGCTTCATAACACTGGCTCCCAGTATGTTTTTTTTTGACTATTTTATCCCTTTTATTTTATTCTATTTTACTAATTTTATATTTATCTTAAACATGTATTTTAGTCTTTTCAGTGTTTTCATGCTTTTATCTTGTATTGTTTTTGTATTATTGTCTCTTGGGTATTATTGTCTTTACACTTGTTAAAGCACTTTGTAACTTGTTTTTGAAAAGTGCTCTACAAATAAAGATTATTATTATTATTATTATTATTTGAGTTAAGAAAATCAGATTATGAAATAACCATTCATAATAACATAAATTAACATTCTGATAAAAATCCCTTAATCCAACATATATGATGATACTGACATCTGTAATCAGCTGTTACCTGGTCCATAGCGTTTATAACTGCACATAAGCTAACATCTTTTTAAATGTTCAACAGAATAGCCACATAATATTCATAATAATAATATATATTTTATTTGTAACGCATTTTATGCGCATTTTATTTAACCCTCATTTATACCTAAGGACATTTGGCTTTTGCAATTTTGATTTTATTGCCATTTTGAGTGTGTTTATGCAATGGGCATGATTTTTGGTGAATCTAAGTTTTTTTTTCTAAATTTTTTAAAATTTTTGGAAAAATTTTTTATAGTGTGGAAAATACACGCTTTAAACGCTATTGTTACAAATCCGCTCCTGAGGACAAAAATGTCCTCATTGAAACTCATAACAAAAAAAATATTTAGCTTAAGTTACCACATAAAAATATTTTTTTACAGTGTATCACCCCTTCTGTCTGTTAAAAAAAAGGATGGAATATGGGGATTTCACTCCTTCCCAGCAGATGGCACTGCTTACCTTTTTGTGGCATGTGGTTGAATCAGAGTGATGGGAGAACCAGAGACCGGCTGTTCCCGGAAATGCTGGCCGCCTACAAGCGCTCCTCCGCCGGGTCGACATGGACCGTAGTGTCGGTGTCACAGCGGAGCTCCGACAAAAATTATTTCTCGCTTCTTCCTCCTGCCTCCTGCAGTCCCTCTGTTCCTCACCGACTCCCTTATACATGAACGGGGATGTGCACACATTTATCAATAAAAAAAAGATGTCTGGCGTTAGGGAAATGGTGCGGTTTTGGGTGTGGTTCTACCCCTTACAGAGGTCATGGCGGCCGGTTTGTGGCGTCCACTGCTATGCTTAGGCGGTTCTCTGTGGCTCCGTGTGGAACGTGGACGTACCGGCCAGTAACGTCTGCAGAGCTGCCCGCCTAGACGAACGCGTGCGCGGCGTTCTAATGGGCTGTAGCCCCGGGTGCACGGCGGAGCTCCGGCTGAAATAATATCTTGCTTCTGGCATATTTCTCCTGCAGTCTATCTCTCCCTCGCATATTCTTCATACAATATTACCTGCCTGGAGGGAAGGGTAACGTTAACCCTGCTCTTTAGCGGTAGCAACCGCGGACAGCTAACGTGAGGCTGAAGGCAACCTCTCTCGCCATTAACGTTACGGTTCACTCACGGCGGGTTGCGAGCATCTGTTCGGCCCAGCGTTCGGCTGGATGATCCACTGTGATTCTGCAGTACGATCCACGCTGACGAAGGAGCTACGAGATCGATCAATTTACACTAGTTATGATAAAAAAAGATCACTCCGAAGACGCTGTGTTTACTTCCATACGCCTTGAAACGGTGGAGCAGGGGTCTCTGGGTAATGTAGTGCCCTTCGATTGAAATAACCTGGGTGATATAGGACAGAGGACTACACCAGTTAAACATCCATGGGGCTTGTGGGTAATGTGGTGCCCTTCTTTGGAAATAACATGGGTGATATAGGACTGAGGCCTACATTACCCAAAGTCCACCGTTTCAAGGCGTATTGAAGTGAACACAGTGTCTTCGGAGCGATCTTTTTTATCATAACTAGTGTAAATTGATCGATCTCATGGAAGAAGCCAGAAATAATTTTTGTCGGAGCTCCGCTGTGACACTACGGTCCATGAGGACGAGGAGCTCTTGTAGGCGGCCAGCATTTCCGTGAACAGCCGTTCTCTGGTTCTCCCATCACTCTGATCCAACCACATGCCACACAAAGGTAAGCAGTGCCATCTGCTGGGTGAAACTGATAATCGAAACTTACATCTTTATTTAACAGACAGAAGGGGTGAAACACGTTAAAAAATGTTTTTATGTGGTAATTTAAGCTAAATATTTGAAATATTTTATAATGGATTTAAACGAGGACAAATTTGTCTTGGGGAGCGGCTTTGTAACAGCTATTAAAGGGATACATGAGGGTTAAACAAATCCCAAATGCTACAGATAACAACAGTAATGTGCTAAAAATAAAACCATAAAACATATAGAGCATGAAAAAAAACAACAGGGATGAATATGGAAGAAAACTTCAGAATATTACGATCGTGTTAACAATGAATTATCTGTAGTTTTGTGGTTAATATCAATTAATGTCTTATGAGAAAACCTGGGAAATTAGTGACATATTCTTGCAAAGTACAAATCATTTTAAAATCAAATCAAAGTTCTTCAGCTCTAATAATAAGATGTTTTCTGGTGAAACTTTTGCTCATTATTATGTCTCATGTGATGCTTAAAGGCTGTCCAGCAGCTCTCACGTGTTAATTTCAATGGAGAATTAAATATTATTTAATTTACTTTGAGGTTTATTATATTCTTCATGAAATATTACGACTTTATTCTCAAAGTATTTAAACTTTATTCTGTGTTTGTCCCACATAAGTGTATTTTACCTTTGTGGAAGAAATTACATAAAATAAAGGAAAAACAAAAAAGTAGAATGTGCTTGACAAAGACTGTTCAGTTTTTATCTCCTTCTTTGTGTTCCTCACAAGCAAATATTGATCTGTTTTAATATGAAGTGATGATATTGGTGGTAAGTAGGAGAACTCATAGGGAGAACTTCAACTTCCACTGTTCTTGGTTGATTGATTTGAAAATCAGGAGATCAGCAGCTCTGAGCTCCTCAAAACCACCAACAATCATTTCACGCTCAAAGTCGCTGAGATCCCACAATGATTTATTCATGGACTCATGGCTGCCTCCTAAGGCTGCACAGGGGAATTATAAAGCCTCAGGTGAGTTTAACAGCTGCTGGAAATTAGCAACAGTTGAATCTTCCAGAGTCCATTAGTCTCGCAGGAGGAAATATGTAGTATCCAATACTTATGCATT